CTACCCTCCGTGCATGTACATGCCTACTTCCAACCGAATGCGACCGTCTCCTCCAATAACAGAGAAAGGAAAGGTTACAGTCCGGCGCATAACATCCAAGACCTGCCCTCGGAGAACCATGCATGAGAGCAAAATGGCTCAAATCACAGTATGAGCCCGGGTTAAATAATTCCAAAGGCTATCTTGAATACCGAGGTTCGTGAAGGAATGCTCCATTACCTGGGATGGGGGAAGAAGTCTAGCCTACATCTGAACTGCATGACTTGCGGAGTTTTGCACCAGCGAAGAACCATGTAATGCGTTGTGATGAACAGAGCTGTAATTCAGGCTGGATATGTACATTTTAGAGGCGCATTACTAATTCTCTACTAATCAAATGCATGTCAACAGTGGGTGGTTCGTCTTTAGGGCTGCCCCTTGTTCGCCCGTGGTTCGCCGTTGGTTCGCCGTTGGTTGCCCATTGATTTGCCGTTCTACGCTTCGCTATCCATGGCTGTTGCAGCGTGGATCTTCATTCTTTAACGGTGAGCCTTCGGGCATTGTTTCTACCAGACCTCAACTAGCTTCTCATTTCGATTGAAAGACACCGCATATCGTGTCGGCTCTGATAGACATCAGACTCTTCTTTGAAAGATTCCCTCGTATACATTCTAATCTAAGTCACAATCCAATGTTAATTCACCCAAGACACCCATATAGCAATAGTACATTCGCCCGAAATGTAGCCGTGCGCCCGTTCAACGCATTTATCCAGCGTCAAGGGTTTTCTTCAGAACCTTCACCGCCAAAACCCTGAGTTCTGGGACGCGCATGATTGTACAACAGCCCTTTTAGCGCCCTGGTTGAAGTACTGGTTGACTGCGTCCTCCGAACGATCATCGAAAGGCCAAGGCTGCCAAATGAGTGGCTGCCACTCCGCGTTTCACTGCGACAAAAGTGCCACATGATGCATGCATCCTGCCGATTGATTTCAGTGGTGCCACGCGGTCCGCCGGGAATTCCTTTACCGAGTGATGCTGGAAATGCACACCAGTGGATTGGAAGAGGCTGGGCAGAATACGACAAGTCCAGAATAATTGGCCAGTCCTGCGTAGACCAATGGTTAAGACTGGGTTCAGGTTGCTGGGCCGAGAGCATAGCCTCTTTCCATCAATGTACCAAGATGTTGGGCGCTACATATCACAGCCTGGTTGCCTTACCGCCAGTGCCACACGCAGCCATCATCTAAGCCACCGGTGATCCCACCGCCGAAGATCGCATGGATGGGCGCGCATGATCCGGCCTTTGTTTCTTTATAAGACAAGAGAACGCGCTGTTGGTTTTCTCTTCATTGCGACGTCCTTGAAAACGTTACTCTATGCTTTTGAAAAAGCTATCGCGGTGTCACATACCAGTTTCGAACATCACTCAGCCAAGTCTTTTCAGTCTCGACCAGATACCTTATACGCCCTCCACAGCTCAGCATGCCCACCCACAAGCACTCCGCTGGCTCGGTTGCGACTGTGGGATCCCTAAACCACAGGTTAATACATAGATAAGCAACGATGTCCCAATCTACCGCCGAAGACCCTTTATTGATGTGATACGGCAGGTATTGGGATTGGTACTTGCCGGAACACGACTAAGCCGCTTGATCAAGCTTTGAAGCTTCGATGACACCGATCAATACGATGAATGGTTCCCCGTGACACTAGGGGAAGTTATTTCAATATTGTCTGTGCAAAACCACACAATCAGCTTGGCATGCCTGCGATTCGATCGCAAGAACTTGGGTTCGATCAAGATGGCGCTTCTTAAAGAATCCATCCGCGAATTCGCAGGCTAAAAGCTGTGACAACCATATCTCAAACGGTCACTCCTTGATTGGGGCCGTTGATGACTCTGACCATGCCCGGTCAACCGAACACTTCATCAATCAGAACTCACCTCATTTTGGATATATACACTCATTTTCTGCGGATTATTTCATTAGTTTGGTGTGGTATGGAGTAAAGCATCCTTTTACCTACTAGTCAATTAACCGTCGAAACGGCTTCAAATATGCCAGTCACATTCCATTGCTCATGCACGGCATATATCTGCGTGACCCTATGTAGTGTGAAGATAACCTGCGTTTAGGATAGGTGAACACATGTTTGATCATTAAACTACCCTTGAATAAACTGGTATTGATATCGTGGTGTCTTTGAATGCGCCGTTTGAAGGGCTAAACAGATCATTTTCCGTCGTGGCGACGCATGCATATTGGCCGTCGTGTACGGGCGCTTTGCCAGACACAGCGGAATTGGCTCGAATGTCGTGGTGGAACTATATCGGCCGCTCTCTACTATAGTCTTCGGAGACTCAAATATGGTTGACTAGATCCCCCGTTAAGTTATCACAAGACTTGTCAGCTAGGTAAGGTCGATCTGCCCATCCATGTAGCGGTACATGCATTTGCAAAAGTACGCAATCTCCATGATTGAGATATGCCACGTTCAAAACTCATGTCTAAACTGTATTGAGTAGGGTTGAAGTGTCGGTAGTGACTGAAGATTCAATTTAGGGTTTGATCTGTTCTGAGAATGACGCCCATCGTCACATGGCAAGAAAGTCAATGTCCATCTCCTCCATTGATGAATAACATCAATTGTATACCATGACTATCATTTCACATTGAATAGGTTGTATAAGACATGATGATCCCAACTATCTACGGGCACGTAAACGTCTGAGTGCAGCTGTCGTTATTCTTCTTTCCCTTGCAAGCCGCTTCGTTCGCACTGTTTGCTGCCGCATTGAACGTCGCCGCTTTGGCATCACGGCATCTGGGAGCAGGGCTGCTCGTGCAGAAAGGCTTGTTGCCAATGTTGCAGAACCCCGGTGCTTGTTCGTTAGCAGCCGATGCTGCCGTGATGATACCGGTCAGGAGAGCAAAAGTGAAGAAGCGCATGTTGATTCGGTAGCTGTCGAATTGGGGAGGTCAAGTGTGAAAATAGGCGATAGGTTGTTGAGATTGCAATATGAATTGTTATTGTTGATTGAGAATTTGATGGTAGTTCACGTCATGACAAGATCAATCGAAGAGGCAGCGAGTTCAGGTTGTTCATATACTTTTGGGTATCATGGTGTCTCTTATGAACCTTTTGTGAAATCTTCCGTCCTCACTCGGTTGTTGATCCTGGCTTTCTCGGACACTGGAAGAGCCCGGTGAGGCGAAACTGTAGCCCCAAGGAGAATATACGCGATTCACCTATTGCTTATGCGTACAAGGTAAATTACTAGCTGAATTTCCCTATGAAGATTCATTCAGATCTTCCACCTTGGGTGAAAACCGTTCGTCTATTTTTATTCAAAAGCGCTCCATCATCTGCTGCACTACGCGTGCCGATATCCGCTGGAACTATGGGGACTCTTCGCACCCAGGCAGCTGTCATGCGGTGGAGTTCGCAGCCCAGGGGAACCCTAAAGTATGGAGTGATGCTTGTTTTCACCCAATAAGTGGAGGCAACCAGACAGTTGCAGATAAACACTTCTGTAGCCCAGATCATTGTGAATCCAAATGTTCTAGGTTCCACAAGATGTCTACAAGGAGGCAAGACAAATAAAAACAAAGTTGACGACGCTGCGGGTGGGCAGAATTATTCTGCTGTCTCATCTCTCGAAGCGACAAGCACAGACATCACACAACAAGCACAACAAGTTGACACAGCAATGGACAAAAATTGAAAGAACGTATGAAGGCTAAAAAAGGGTATGAAGCGACGTAGAGCTTCGATTATGTTACGGACCAGACTGAACATGAATCTTTCTTCCCTTCTAACTTTTCTTCTTCGCAGTTTGACGCCAGAATCTTCGGTTTCCCAGCCTCGCAGGATGACTCTTGCAGCATCACAGCTGCTGCAAGAAGAGTTGTGTCGACATGTACATTTACTAGAGTGATAGGGAGTGTATTATTGGGCCTTCGAAAGATCCTTTCCCATCTTAATGTTGCACTTGGTATCTCTTCAATTCCGTCACCCAAATCATTTGTCCCATTTAGATCTTGGGGTGTGGCAACTGCAGCCAGCACTGCACCAGATGAAAGATTGAGATAACGTGTGGATACGAAGCCCTTTGCTTCATGCTCCTTTTCAAGTTCGTCTCAAATTGCAGCGCCATATTGGAGTTCCTGACGGGTGCGCCGACAACAACTCCTTTTGTTCTGGGTCTTTGAGCTCGTTCTTCGCCTGCTGAACGCGGCCACCAATGTCCAGCCTGCACCCGAATCTCAGGTTCGGATACAGTGGCGCTGTAGCCAAGAAGTAAGGATCTATATTATCTGGAGGGATACGGCTTCATACTAGCCGGTGGGATGTCAGCAAGTTGCATATCACCAGGTGGCATTAAGACTAATTCCGGAATACGTCACGTGCCAAGATTTGATCGTTATCTTGTCGTCCTGTATAGGTGGGAAGCGGAGAAATAATTCCTCTCAATGACTCATTTCCTTGCAGAGGCACCGCTTTCATACTACCAAGATACTATCTGTCTGGACAGCTGTAGCAGATTTGCCGAGGCTCAGCCGCTGCTGAAGTCTTGTCCCAGACGCCGTGGGCCGGCGAACTCCCATCTGCGTGTCCCCCGTGAGAGGTTTAGGTGGTAGAACCATTCATGTTATGGGGCAGCCGACGGGATATCAATCTCGTGTAATCTACCGACACAGGTCATCGCCTTCTCCGGGCTGTCACCCGGAACTTGACAATCGCGGAATGTCTTCATCCTATCTTCTATCACTTACCAAAGTCTCCAAGGGTTACAGTCTACGGAGCTATATAAAAGGAAAGAAAGACTCATCTAGGGGCTACTCCCTTCCGTCCTCATCCCATTACGTTCATTCAGCGATGACAAACGAGTCTCTCATTTCAACCATTCGTTTACCGAATTCAAAGATGAAGCTTCAATCGCAAATTCTGCATGCAGCAATGACCTTTTCGGTCGCTCTCTGCCACCCATTCTCAACACCGTCTCCTTCGACTGCGATGTCTACATCCGTCGTCTTCCAACTCAACCAGACTGGCACCTGGTTTGAAAACCTTGCCGTTCGACCCAACGGCCAGATTGTGGCGACTCGAATGGATCTGGGCCAGCTTTGGCTTATCGACCCCTTTGCTAAGACAGGCAAGAAGTTGGTCGACGTTCCCGGAGTCATCAGCACCATCGGAATTGCTGAGTACAAGCCCGATGTCTTCGCTTTTGGCGGTGGGAACTTCAGTCTCAACCCCGTCAGCCTTGCTGCACGCTCGATGAAGGTGTTCTCTCTCGACCTTACTAAGGAGCTTCCTGTTGTCACCCTCGTCACTCCTCTGCTGGATGCAGGTTTTGCTAATGGGCTGACGGCTTGGAGTGAGACGGAGGTTCTGGTTGCCGACACCAACGGAGGAACTGTGTATAAGGTTGACATCACCACTGGGAACGCAGCTATTATCTTTTCTGGTGAGGACTTCGTCGGAGTCAATGGACTTCGCGTCCAGAACGGGTACTTGTACTATTCCAGCACGGACACACAGCGATTTTTCCGCGTGCCAGTTGGAGCGGACGCAATGGCTGCGGGCCCAGTCGAGATTTTGACATCTGGCTTCCCACAGGATGATTTCGCGCTTGCTGCGGATGACACCGCGTACATCGCTGGCATGGAGCAGAACCAGGTAATCCAGGTGTTGGCTGACGGGCAGACGACCACTATTGCCGGTGAGCCGGATAATCTAGAGGTCGCTGCCTCTACGTCCGTCCGGTTTGGTAGGACTCCTGTGGACTCGAACGTTTTGTATGTTACTACCTCTGGTGGTGCCCTTCAGAGAATCTTTGGAAACTACACGGAGCCGGCGAAGATTGTGGCTGTCAAGTTGAACAACGTCTAGAAGGCTGCAGTCTCACTAGCATGGGCATATCGTGAACAAAGTCTTCAAGCTATCTATTGCGACTTCCTGTACAATAATTATCCAGACTTTCATATGTTCACTTCATATTACACACAAAGTCCTGAGAATGAAAGAAACTGTTTCGTTCCGGATTGTACTAAACGATCAAAACGCGCAATAAGCTATACAGCAATTATCTTGCTCTGAAACATATTTTACCTATGCCGTTCGACAGACGACTCTACGAGTAGTTTAAGCTGGATGGTCAGCCGTGCATAATTCTGTTCTGTTGACCAAATTACCCCGCACAGATACTGACTAACTACAGACTTAAGAATCTTGGTGTTTCTCATACTAAGAACGTGTGTCTAGTTCTCATACAACCTGCTTCACGCGATGCTTATAACAGGGGGTTTAACCTACTTCGAAATCATGGTTGCGTGAGTTTTGGTGTGTCATTGCATAGCATGGGAAGGCCGCAAGGGCATTGAACGCTGTAGTTGAGTGGCTGAAGCTTCTGTCAGCAAGTTGCAAGTGATATGGATGATGGCGAAGCTGGAGTCAAGTGATAGGTCTCCGGGACTAGAGGAGGCGGTGCATGAACATGAGAATTTTACCGCGTCTGAATATATACATATAACTCCGGAATTTGCCCAAACAAATGCCGCCGAAATCCAATCAAGATCAATCATCCTCTCCTTCAGAGCTGTCTTCATAGTCCATATCATCATCGCTCCAGTCGAGACTAACTTTGTAGGACCTAAGGATTTCGCGGGTCTTTCTCTGTAAGTCCGACCTTTCCAGCAGCAACTCATCCCTTATGCGTCTAGCTTCCTGTTTTGGAATCGGAAAGTCTGAAACTTTCTCGACCACCATGTCGACTACCTCCTTCGGAAGCCCCTTAAGCTGTCCTTCGCTCGTTGAGAACTCTGCCGCCCACCAATCAGCCTGTTGCGGAGGCACATTGGCTGTTGACAGGATTTGGACTCGTGGGTCGACCAAATACAGAGTCAAAACCTTTCTATGCCCAGGCCGAGTCGAATCCTTCAACTGAAAGGCGGACTCCTTCTGCTGTACAACGTTGGGGTATACCAGCATCAAACCCTCTCGCATGGTCGCGAATCCGACTTTTTGCAGAGACGGAGTCTTGTTCCTGAGGCCGAAGATTTCGTCAAGGGGTCTCAGATCCCCCGTTTCAAAGCTGCAATCTTCCTCGAAGTTCAAACCTTGAAATCGTGTCTGGAAGGATACTCTCGAGTCTGTAACATTTTCATCATCGAAAAAGTAGACTGCAGTGGCCACGATTTGTTCATTCAGCGCACCATCCAGACAGAACTCATTCCGCAGATCACAGATTGGGCTTTCTGGGGTCAGGCACATTGCTGCCATCTTTACAATGACCTGAATACCGTCCGCCTTGCCTAGCATGCTTGTATAGTTCGCTAACGCTTCCGGTGTAACAGAACTTTCATGTGTATGGTACGCTCGTTCTTCCTCAGAACGTGGTTCAGGTTTGTCAATAACCCTGAAGTTACGCAGCCACGCGTTGGTCCTTCGTTGCCATTCATCATCATCGATGAGTCCGCTCATTAGGTCATCTTTGATGTTGAGTGGGTCGTAGGGAGGTGTAACAGGATATTTCCAACCGGCCTGATCACAATCGATGCGCTTCTCGCAGTGCATGGTTTCCTTGTAGACAGTAGAGTACACCAGATTCCACATAGGCATTACTTTCGTAATGATATTTTCCAAGACAGGGTAGAAGTTCCGGTGGTCCTTGGGATGCAGGTTGTTAACGTAGCTCGTGATCTTCGCATTGATGCCGTCTGGGAATTCAACATTGCAGGGAAGCCACTGGGATTTGCCGGAGAACAATGTATAATAGGTGCCGTCAACATATTTCTGCCTTTCGTCCTTGTCCGGTATTTGAACCGTGATTCCTTGGGTGATGTAGTCAAGGCAGTCTTGAAGATCGATCTCCTTGCCGGGAAGAACTCGAGAGCGACCATAAACGAGCGGGTACATCGCTGGGTCAATTAGGTTGACCACAGCATTCTTTGCGCTCGATGTGGACTCGGTGGCTTGTGTGAGCTTGTTTTCCTTGCCTGAGCTCCAGTCGATCTTGCGAAGTGAGGTTCGTTCTATGTTGCGAGCAGCCCTCTGGAGAGCGCTCCGCATGTCTGACGATATGATCCTATCTGATCGAGTGATGCGCACTTCAATGTCAAGAATGGAAACAATTCCCGTCTCTTGATATAGCCTCGCTTTTGCCTGAAGTTCTTCTATGCACTGCGGAATGAGTTAATTATCATGTCTATCATGACCGTGGCTACTCTTACGCATGCAAACATTGCATCGGTGAAGTCGCCATGTCGAATTCCATCAGCTCTGCGCCAGTCCTTTTCGACTACATCATGCTTCCAAGTTGCAATTGCCGCCTCTTGGAACACCCTCTGATCCCAATTCTCCTCGAGTGTGACGTCCTGCATGAACGCTACCATGCATCGCTCACGATTTGTGTGCGGCCAGTGTTGTTGCCAATCATTCACAGCATCCGGAAAATGTTCTTCAGGTGTATGATTTAAGGAAAGACCGAAGCCGGGCAGCTACAATTGAGATCATTAGCTCTGCTCCCGATTTTCTTACACCGTTCACCTAGGGAATTTATGACACTAACCATGATCCGACCTGCTTCGATGACGGCTTCCGGTTCCATGTTGATGTTTCTGCTTCGAGGACGAGACTACGCTTGACAGCAATCGAGGCGACTTTTGGGATAATTCTGAGTGACTCGCAACTCACGTGGCTCGGTCAACTTGGAGTGGCTGCCTTGAGATATGGAGGTGGAAAGAGGGGACATTTGCCCAGGCAACAACAGATGGAAAGACATAGGACGGGGTGCGGGGGTTGCAGATTTAGCGTGATCCTTCGGCAAGGAGCGAAATCCGTCAATAGCCACATCGTGAAAACCACAGCATGGGAGGAACTTTTCAAAGACAGAACCCTGCTTTGTATTAGAAACCAGTCATCTACGTCATAGGAATAGTGCTCATCTCTTACGGAGTGTCGGTCACTGGTTTAGCACTGGAAAGAAGAAGCGAAGGATGAAATTTTATGACAATATATATCTGGACGTTTTCGAGAAAACAAATCTTCAATGTGGGTGTAACATGTGGTATCATAACTACTCCTCTAACGACTATACAATGCTACTCCTTCCAAATGAGTTCAATCCCTCTGCCTCCTTAGCATTTCGCAACAACATCCTGGCCAGCCTTGACTGATTTGTCGAGCCCTGCTTGCGCATCAACGACAGCTTGGTCGCTCCTGCATAGAATATCAGCCATCGTCATCTCGAGCTTCAAGGATTCTGACGCTTACTTATCGGCACTGGCGAGGGCGTCGCCTGCTGCAGCGAGTCCAGCTGCTACTTCGTCACGGCTAGCTGCGGGAGGTGCACTACCGCTCAGAAGGGATTGCGCAATTTGCGAAATACCTCCTCGCGCCTGTTGAAGGCCTGTGTTGGCAGCATCCTTGACTGTTGCATCGGTGATTTTAGAAACGGCGTCGTCGGTGTTACCAAGGGCGCCGAGGATCTGGAGTCGTGCCACATTGCATGAGAGACTGCCCAGATTGCCAAGCAATTGGCGTCTGTCGATGCTTCCTAGAACAGCCAGCCAGTTAGAGAAATGGAATGGGGTCTGGTTGACATTTTGTGAATTACTGACTCGCGGTAGCAAGAGTGGCGCTGGTAGCCATCAAAAAAGTGACGATAAGTTGCTGAGGGTACATCTTGGATTGATTTTAGTGGGTATCGAAAGACAGTGTGAGAATAGAAGAGGACGCCAGGTCGTTATTCAAAATTAAGCTTAAAAAGATATTTGAAGATGACGCCAGGTCAGAAAAGGAAGAGGTTGATAAAAAGATGATTGAGAAGACAATCTATCGGATGGCAGTTTCACTGGTGATGAGTTGAAACAATATTCAAATGTTGACAGCGGCGTGACAGGTGCCATTTTATATATGGGATGGATTGACAGAAGCACTGCGCTAAGATGATGTGAAAATTGGTGCGCGGAGCCCGAAAGAAGGCTCAGCGCCTGGCATGGCGTTTCGAAGATCGAATGGAGTTTCAAAACATGGGAATGGGGTGACGCTGAGGTTCTCGGATGAACCCCCTGTTCCCTATGACCAGCGTCTGTACTGGGGGGCCATGCATGGGAGGGGAGGTGGTAACGCCAAATCCCACCTTCAGCAACCTCGCTTATTTCAATTCGCTGCGTATCTTTCGAACCTCCTTGAAGATCAAACTGCCCGGCGGGGAACATATGAATCCGCAGCGAGATTTGTTTTTGCGATTGGCTGCTCATCTTCTTCACCAGGGGTTCTGATCTACGGATCCGACACCTTTCCATGAATGGCGAAACTGAATCGAATATCATAAATACATATGTTAAGGCCTCTGAAGCAGGTTCAATATTTCATGTCCATTAATAGCCTCATCTCCTGGTCACCTTTTGGCAGATGTGCTGCCACCCGCGTGAGGACTATCACGCGACAACACCCTTAGGCAGAGTGATCCCCTTAGGATCGGCCGAATTACCACCCCAGATGCCTAGGTTGCTGTGCACCAAATATCGCCGCAAGACGAAAAAGAGATCTCACCAGTGAAAACGGAGAACGTGAAGTGCTGCATTATTCCTCGTAACCGAGCTCGTAACCGAGATTTCATCGGTCCTCACAAGGCGCCATCAAATAAATGAGCTCGCTGAACATCTGTCTGAAATGGCGTGTCCATTGCCGCAGCCTTTTGGTCTGACGTCTGGCTCCGTCCAACTCAAGAGCCTTCATCAACCGTGAAATTTTGACCATCAGATTTCCGAGCAGGTTGAACGGTAAGGCTTCGATTCCTCCCAGGAAATGTACCGGATTTCCATCTGGGACTCCATCCTGGACATCGACAGGCAGATTCGCGCACTGTCTCGCCGGCCACATTGTCAATGTTCTTCATTTGCCCATGCGCATAATACAACTTGCGAGATGTCCAGATGGCTACCCGCTGCAGTGATCAAAGAAGGGGCTGGAGCATCGGTCAAGTCAAGTCTAAGACAGCTCTAGTGACGGAAGACCCCATGACAAGCGTGGCATAGCTGAGGCCATAGCCGAACTCATGGAGGAAAATGACGTGAAAAAGCAAAGCATAAGTTCAGGAAAAAAAAACACATGACCAAGTCTGCCGAAAGGGTGGCTCTATTCGACTAATTTGCGTGGTATTGATGCAGGCTCTTTCTCTTATCACAACAGGTTGCACGTCGCAGCATAGTCTGTCTTATGAATGATTGTCAGGCCGATGGATCGCGACGGGTCTTTTTTACGGCCGCATAGTTGCAAGTTACAATTCTGGCTTGTTCGTCTCTCACCGCTCGTTCACTCTTGACGCGAGGTGCCACTCTCGGTGCTGAATTCGGTGTCCGACGCTAAAAAGGTATGTTGAGGGTCGCTCTTGAGGGTATTTGAACCGCTTGTCGGATTCTGAGATCATAACATTAAGATTCCATTGGAATGAAGCTTCAGAAGATGGACTGGCTCGGTCAACTCTTTTCTGCTAGTTGAACATAGTTCCAGGTCAACTAAAATCCCCACAGCCGAGCTCTCGACCTCTCTCAGCAACTCCCAGCAAACTGGGTCTTAATTAGGGGAGCACCGTGCTTCTGGATACGGGGCATTGTTAAGGTTTCGGATACGCCGCAAATGTGAACTGGACTAGATGAGCCTGAGGGCGGTTCACGCTAGACTGACTCAGAAAACCTACAAGTACACCGTAATTCGATGTCAGCAAAGCAACAGAAGAGCGGACTTTGAAAGGATGCATGGGAATCTGGAAAGGAATAGAGAGTCTACCACTGGATACTAATGAATGCCCAGCCTGAATTGATCTCGCCAAGGGAGCATCAGCAGTCGGATCGTTGGACACAAGCTATTCTGCATGCGATAGGGACTCTCGTGACGAAACTAGCTCAATTTAATTACGGCCGCCTAGACCAACAGCAAGCGAGTCAAGAATCTCCGTCCAAGCATCTGTAGCCTAGCAGATCGCATCTTCCGATAGCGAAGAAAAGGGGTGGATCATAAGAATAAAAGCATGGTGTCTTCCCCTGCGGAGTTGTCGGTTCATACTAAATGACTATCCGCGACTTACGTGTTTTACCCTCGAGCTACAATTTTCCCGGCGTTTTCGCGAAGCCCTCAATTTCAACTTTCTGCAGCTCTCGCTACAGCAAATTCATCCTCGACCACCCAGCGCAAATACTGACGATAAAATGAAGTTCACCGGAGCGATCCTTTTCCTGTTTGCTGCGGCGGCCTCTGCCCAGTCTTGCACTGGCAACGAGATGCAAGTCTGCCAGGGCAACAGCATCAAGTTCTGCAACCTCGCCAAGAATAACGTCTTCGATGTAAGCGGCGAATATTTCTTTCTAGCCACGTCAGCCGGAGATAGACACGGAATCACTGACTCATACGACAGTTCATGGACTGCGGTCGCCAAAAGTGCGTCAATGTTGCTGGCGGTGCCAACTGTCAGTAAATACAAGCGGGAGGTTTTAGGGAAGATAGGCACGCGGAATAAGAACAGAATCCCGTATTTTGATTACTACTGCCTTCAAGACCCAGCAACTTCGCGCAAGTTGTACAATGAGCTTTCCAATTTATTACATTGGTCGTGGTCGACCGTTAGCTAGACCGCCGCCACCCGTGAAGCCCATCGATTCTCAATGTGACAGCGTCAGCACGATCTCACTAGCGCAAAATATGGGAAGCTGAAAACAAGGGTCACTCAACGTTGCAGTGAGACCACCTCTCGCCAACTCAATGAGCCAATCAGATGCCCTCTTTCGCTAGCACGCCGTCAATGGATCTCCCAACCACCTCAGCTTACTTTATGGAGACCTTTCTGAAAGACAATTTCAGCTTCACATCTAACACTCCCTTGTCAAGATTGCAACCAAGCATGCAAGATGGAGAACTCACATAAGAACGGAACTTTGACTGATATTCTTGAGCCCAAAGAAGCCGTAGATGCGGTCGCAAAGTATGCACCGCCTCAGGATCACAGCAATGGACGACGTGGCGCACACAACGAGGTAAGAGGGCCTTCAAGCTGAGACGACATGCTTCACCTCTCTCCCGCCCGTACCTGACTTGAGCACAGGGTCTTTGCGAAGATTGCGCCGTCTTGGATTTGGGTGTACACTGCTTCAAAGTTCAACCTGGCTCCACAAAGCCTGCAGGCAAACCGGTACAAGATCAGCCAGCGGCAATCCGCTCGTACACAACACCCCATCATCTTGGAAGCCTGAGTGATATTCGGAATCGATCATCGGAATGCGAGATGTGCGCTTTGATCATAGACTCGGTGGAGGAAGCAGGGACTCAAAACCCGACCGGTGACGTCTTGGACGCAGCTGCAGAGCATGCGCTTGAGAATGCCAAATGCTCCATCAGCTGGGAGATTGACGGTCGTGAGGCGTCCAGGTCCAAGAGCCGCGGCCACAACCCAGCGAATACAGTCCGGGGGATAACCAGACGCGTGCACATTCGATGGGACCACCCCCGGCTTTCAGACGCTTACCTGGTCTACGTTGCACCAGAGAGATTCGCAAGGACGGCGTCCGATGCTGACCGTGTCTGGGCCAAGGACTCGCTTTTCTTGGGGCGCAAGATTACCGAAGATATCGAGAACCAAGCTCTGATCCGATCATGGCTAGATCTTTGTCAAAAATCACATCGGGGCCCGTGTCGTCAAAATAAGGACGAAGGTGTTGAACGCTTTGTCGAGATGGTGTCGCACTCTTACTTCGGTGTCATCGACGTACAGAACATGCAACTCACCCAGCTACCTTGCAAGTCTCGAGAGAGATCTCGCGATGGTAGAGAACGAAGGTATGCATGGGGAACAGATATGCATGAGCCATATGTTGCACTTAGCTACGTATGGGGAACCGACGAGACGGCATACACAACTTTGACGGACAATGTCATGCTTCACCGTATGCATGGTGGACTTGAAGATGTTCTTCTCCGACTGCCGAAGGCTATCCAGGACGCAATCGACCTCGTCCGCAGACTTGGCTTTAAATACATGTGGATAGACCGACTTTGCATTGTCCAGAATAGCTCGCGATCCTGGAAGCTCAATGCATTTAACATGGACCTTATTTACGGCAACGCAGCACTTACTATATGTGCGGCGGATGGAGATGCATCGATCGGGTTGAGGGCCATGCGACCAAGTACTCGCAACACCAAACAGTACAAGCGCATGATCAACCCTCATCTTGAACTAATGGTCACACGCCCACCCGAGATCTACATTCGCTCCTCGGAATGGAACGAGCGGGCCTGGACATTTCAAGAGCGGCTCCTCTCTCGCCGCTGCCTGATCTTCACTAACGGAAGAGTGTACTTCCAATGTCGATCGACTGGCATGTCGGAGGACATCTTTGGAGACCAAAAGGGAGCGGGTTGGTCGTTGGACCTGGTCGATGCGCCTATGCAAATGTTCCGACAACTTGACGACCGTGCATTCTGGGTGTACATGAAGTGCGTCGAGCTCTACACCGAGAGAAAGCTGACTCAAGCCAAAGATATCCAGGCAGCTTTCAGTGGTATGGCTAACATGATGGAGGAACGCATGAATGCGCCTTTCATACATGGACTTCCTAGTTCCCACTTTGATCTGGCTCTTCTTTGGGAACCCGTTAGGTCCGTCAAACGGAGAACGTCTTCGACGAACAAAAACGATCATACGATCCCAGACTTTCCCAGTTGGTCTTGGACGGGATGGATTGGAGAGACAAAGTATCATGATGACTTGATTGGAGGAGCCCTTGACAATGTTTCCCAGTGGCTGAACACGCACACTTGGATTCAGTGGTGGGTGCGGGATGGACACGGTGACTTACGTCCACTGTGGGATTATCATCAGTCACTGGAAGACGCTAGCGAAGATCACAGCTGGAGAGGGTATACGAAAAAGAGAGCAGAGAGGAGTAAATACCGCTTGGCAACCATTAAGTCAATGGCAATAGCTAATCGTAAAATAGGTATCCCATCCGACTTTCCACGCCGCCGGGGATCTCCAAGCCCAGTGCAACGGGACGGTTCACCAGGCGGTTCTTCGTAAGGAAGTATTCACCATGATATTGGATCTGATTGCTAAACTCAACTTTAGGTACAGCGATGATTCAGCGTCGTATTCTGACGTAGATGTGCGACTGCGTGAAAGAGCTGGATCCAGATCCCGGTCTAGACAAGGGGCGCCGAGGTCCAGGGACGACAAACCACTCTATCAGGGGTACACGGAGGCCACTTCGTACAGGCAGCCTGCCGCCTTTCGGGCGTCTAATCCCGTCGGTCGAACATACAGTGTGGAAGGGTAAGTCTATTGAGCACCACCTTGGCATCTTCAAAGATGTAGTCTTTCTGACATAAAACATGTAGGCGATCCAGAATGCCAGTTGTCGCAGACGACAGAGATAGGGACCGACGCTCTAGGCATGAATATGAAGACCGTTTGAAGTTACCACCTCATTCTCCGTCTTCTCCGAAGTAGTACGTAAAGAGAGCTTCACTTTCTCAGTTGGATGTACAAGCAAGCTGACAGATGAGCCAGTGATCAACGCAGGAAGGTCACTCGGGAAGGCGCGCTGTTCGGCGCTGGACCAGTGGTTTCCGAAGGCCTCGTCTCAGCCCCGGCGCCGGTTCACACCGCAGACTTCTTCGATATGTTCTTCGAGGATAACGAAAAAGAATTTAGTATCACACTGCGAGATTATCCGTACCGCGTCGTGAAGGCTCCCTTCGAACCGAAGCCTGAGACGTCCGAATTCCCTCTGCTTCCGATTCTGCAGTTCCGTACATGGCACACCTGGCTGTACATCAAACATAACGGCCCATCGGAGCGGCAGTTTCATGACCGCAAGCTTCTTAGCATGGGCACGGAAAGTGGTCTGGCGCGATATCATATTGCAGATGAGATGGGCGATTGGTGTGGCTCAGTGGTTTTGGAAGCTGAATGGGCAGCCAAAGCGAGCGACAAGCAAGAGTTTATCGCCATCTCCGAAGCGAAGAGTTTTACGCGTGATGAGTGCCCAGAGTGGACATACTACATCCCCAAAGAGAGAGAGCAAAGCGAGTGGGACTTGTTCTACGTCCTTCTGATTGAGAGAAAAGATGAAAAGTGGGAGAGAGTCGGTGTCGGAAAGGTTTTCAAGGAGGCCTTCCACAATTCGAAGCAAAAGGAGATCATGCTTAGTTGAATCGCTGGTGTACGATAGTGCCAAATGTAATCCAACTAGAAATTCTACGTATGATCTACGATCTTTGACTGGCCTTTAGCTAATTTCTGATTTCTGCCCGTTGAAAAGTGATTAACTTCTTTCCTACTGGTCCCTGCACACTTGCATCACTCTCATTTACGTAGCCGGGAGGAGGTAAAATCTCCGCAGAAGCGCCAGGCGGCAGTGAAAGGGTAACACTAATCTTACCAGCTCCCTCGTCAACATTAAGATCAACCTCTATTTTGCCACTTGAAGTCTCTTTCTCATAGTTTGCCGAGCTGATACCGGACAAAACCGGTGCAACCTGGATTTTCGTCCATCCAGGTTCCAGAGGTCTCACACCAGCAACGTATTGAGGTAGCAAGAACACAGGCCACGATGACCAGGCATGCATCAGAGACGTATCGTGGTAGAAAGGCTGTCCCTCGGCTGTCATTGCTTCCCAGTGACCGCCGGAATAGTTGGGGTTTGAGGTATCAGCCATCGGGCCCCAGACGCTCTCAATGAGCTTGACAGCTTCTTGCCCCTTCTGGTGCGAGAAGAGAGCCTCGACCGCAAAGCCCGTAGCATATGGGCTGATAACCCCTGTCCTATCCCAGTGGTCCAAGCCCTTGAAGGCTACAGGCTTTGTGCCTGAGGGACACGCCAAGTGACTTGCAGTCTTCTCTGGTTCAGACGTGATTCCAAGCGATAGTGCGTAGCCGTTTGTATCTTGGCAAATGCCGTCACTGGGAAGGGCCATTCCCATGCGGATGCTACAAGTCTCTGGATTCCACAGATGATGAAGTATGTTTCTCTTGAGACTCTCAGCTCGTTCAGCAAGTTGTGACTTGCGACTTGAATCGGATGTCATCGCAATTACAGCATTCAATGCGTCGTAGTATGCAAGGTTCGTTGTTCCTGCTGCGCCAAAAACTGGGCCGCCCAGAGGGTACCAATGCACTTACAGTTGTCAGCAAACATTCTGGAAATGGCATAGATATTAGAAAGATCTTACTTGAAAGTTCAGGGTGTACCTCGATGAGGCCCGACGGCTTCAAATGTGATTCTGCGAACTTCAAGAGATTTTCGGCAGCGGGGAGGAACCGCTTAACAACCTCGTCGTCTCCGGAATGCAACCAGTAATCCTTCACAGCAACCACCAGGAGGCATGCGTATGTCATGGAGTAGAACGCATATGTCGGTGGTGGCGCATCGCCTGTGTGGATGGGTGCTTGGATGGGACACAGGTTACCGAGATACCCATCCTCAGTCTGGTGACTGGAAAGAAGCTCAATGCTGCCGGCAACTGCGGCCATGTCCAGCCCAGCGTAAGCGACTCCACGACCAGAGACAAACAAATCTCCACCAAACGTGGCTCTGTCTCTCTTTGCTCCATCGATCATGCAAGCCACGGCATTTGTCCCGACTTGGAAATCAGCCAGTGTCCTGTCCTTGTCCTCGAGTCGCAAGCTGTTCTCGTAGAGGACCTCACCGGCACCTTTCACAGCAAGGTTTTGATAGACTGCCAGCCATCCATTGGGTCCTCCAAACGCCACAGACCCGGTGTTGATGCCTGATCCTCCAAGGATCGGTCGAAGCTGAACGTCTGCGATTGTCGCAACCTCCCGGTCATTGATTGTGACTGCAATGGCATTCCCCTTGGTAATCGTTGAAATACGGATCCAGTCTCCTTTCTTTGCAATGCCGTGAGTCGACCAACTTCCAAAGCTCTTCACGGGGAACACCGCAGATTGGTCAGCCAGGCCTTCGTACGCTCGGAGCTCCTCGGCGTCGATGTCGAGGCAGAAGATAACTCCGTTGGCTACCATATGAACGCCCCAGCTGGCACCAAGATGCTCAATTCGGACTTCAAATGTGACTTCTTTGTCTCCCCACCGAGTTCCCTGTCGACAGGGAGCCCAGTGCTGACCAAGAACTATAGTGCCGTCATTCGTGACTTCCCATGATGGAGCAGTCTCGCCCTTGAGGACGGTGCACATGTCCACAGTGCGTACACCGTCCCTCCAGATTCGGTTGAGAGTTTCGTCGGAGCAGTAAAAAGAAGCCTTTGGCTCAATGAATGGCCTGACAAGCTCAACCCCAACTCGACTAATAACAACGGACGCATCTTCGGAGATAAGCACAAGCTTAAGGTATCTCTGCGATCTTTGCGCAAGGTTTGCCTTGATTGTTTGCTGTGATTCAGATGGATCAATCTTGATGGCAACATTGCGGTAGCAATCCATTGCATTAGAAAAGAAAAAGAATGGTCCATCTCCTATTATTCCGTTTATTAGCTGTGTCTCAGGGTAGGTCAATGAAGACACTTACCAGTCTCGCAATCAATTCCCCCGATTGTCTCGCTGTAAACAGCTTGAAGCTGTATCGGCCCATTGCCATGTGCGCGTTCTATGACGATGAATGGAATTCCACCTATGCATATTTCATAGTCGAACACAATGCTAGCTCTTGCGGTGGGCTCTGAAACCTTGCCATTGGACAGCGTAAATGTGCCCGAGTCAGCGTCTCGATCAGCGCCCTTAGACGCCGACAGGACCTTCTTGGGCACAATCACTTCGGGAGCGCTGACAGTCATTTTCAGAAAGCAGAACGAAGAAAATGACAATTTGGAGTCACCGTTCTCACTTGCGAGCTCTTGGTGTCGTGGAACTTGTAGGTAAGAGCAAGCGGCTCATCCGGGGTAAATTAACACAGTCCCGGTCTTCATCAATTTCGGGAAATCCGACTTCGCTGAGAACGCTAGTCCCGATGTGGGCGGACGTCCACCCGGTTTTGTGGGGTAAAGGTGGACGTAAAACATAAGAGGACGCCGACGTCCACCCAGATCTACTGCTGGCGTCTCACGTGTGAAAAAGACGTCCACCGTAGACATATCGTGTGCATCTAGACGACCGGCAACTACTCAGATTGGCCCCGCAAGATGGCTCCGAAGCGGAAGACCGGAACGTACCCCTGTTCGAAGTGTCCTCGAATATTCAACCGACTAGAGAATTTGAAACGACATCAAAAATCACGTAGGTCTCCGCCACAGCGGTTGATCCATTGACCACGAAGAGGACTTGAATCGCTCACAATGTTCTAGATCAAGGCAGCCTCCCACATTGCTGCGACATCTGCCAGAGAGAATTCTCCAGGAGCGACTTGTTGAAGAAACATCAACGCACCCACCAACGCCAAGACGAGCAGCAACCAACAGACGAGCCTCCTCATGGCAAGAGGAGATATCCTTTTGTGCTTGAAAACAAATATGGCTCATCTAGTAGCGACACTTCTTTCACGCCAGGTGAGAACGAACCCGAGCCAGGCCCAGCGGTAGGTTCGAACCTGTTGGGTCAGCCTAGTCAGGCGGACCTCTTCATGAACCAAGCTGTACACGGTGCACCAGTTCTTGTGGATGGGGACGTGGATTTCACAGGCTTCTTTCGTCCTTGGGATACTGGGAAACATCTTGATACAAATGACTGGTTCACCCAAGACTTTTATGACGCCTCTCAAGAAATGGCGACAATCTTCGGTCCCAATGACTTCATCGCGTCCGGGAATCAATCGGCGTACGGAGCCGCTCATGAGCTATGGAGCTGCCTGGAGCCACCTGAGGCCATGCAATTCAATGTTTTCGGAATGCAAAGCATTGATAGCAATGCACAGGTCACTCCAGTAACATCCGGAGACGTCACCGAAAACTCATCGCGGGCAGCCTCGCCACCAAACATGCCTTCAAAGGAGGATGCCATTGCATTTGCGTGGGATCCTGCATCCGAGGGTATACGTCAAACAAGGCCTATCATAATCAGCGAAACTCATCCATTGCGGCGAAACCACAACCCGCGATTCGATTTCAGCGACGCAACCTGGGCCAATGTCCACAATTTCTTAGAGAATCAGTCGCCAACAGCAGACAGCTTCATCTTACCCCCGCTAGGAATTGCGAATATTTTCTTTGGGCTATTTTTTCAAAGATTTTATGCGCAAAGTCCTGTGCTCCATCTCCCAACTCTCAACAGCAATGGGCTTCATCCTTCTCTGCTTTCCATTATGGTGGCAATAGGCGCGATGTACAGCCACGTACGGCAGACTCGTCGCTTTTCAATTTTGTTGCTCAACCGCTCCCGCCAAAACCTTCAGGCTCTCATCGAAAGAGATAGAAGATTTACCCGAGACCCACACATCATATACGCGTACTCGTTGATGTGCTATACTGGGCTGTGGTGCGGGAACAAAGAAGCTTTCGAAGTCGCCGAAGCCTGTCGAGGTACCCTAGTCACTTACGTCAGACGCCTTCCCGAGTTTCTGTATAGTATGACTGACGACAATCTACACGACAGCCTGGACAGAATAAAAGCCTGGGCGCGTTCGGAGTTTGTTCGGCGAGTGAGATGGTTTGTGTTCCTGGTGGATTCCCAGTTTCCTGCACTCCTGAATATGAGGAGCATGATGTCCGTATCGGAGGTATATGATTGGCAACTTCCGTGCAATGAGACGCTATGGCAAGGCATGTTGGGTGCAAGCGATCGAGGCCTTGAGCCCATGTTACTGGGGTCAGCTACCGAGAGCCAAAATAGTCTGCGAGGAATTGTGCGAAATGGTCCAATGAAACGACCACCACAGAACAAAACATCGGCAACGGGTTTCGTTAAAGGCTTGACAAACAAGACAAATCCATGGGCTACGTTTCTGGTCATCAGCACATTGGCAAGCCAGGCTTTAGACTGTGCCCATGATCATTCAATGAACGCAGACATCACGTGCTCGGACAGCTTTGAACACCACGAGAGAGATATTGACCTCTCTACCTTTGAGGGTTTGAAAACCGGACCTGGAGTCTTTAGATATAACGTAAAAGGTATGCGACACCCTTATCAAATCAATGCCGTGCTAACTCGCGCCATTAGGCGCCCTTGAGTATTGGGAACAGCTCATTTCCCGTGCGGAAAAGCACGACCCAGATGCGTGGGGGGTCAATGAATATTTTCATGGTGCATCTCGAGTTCTGCTATCGCTGGCAAATCTCAATCTTACCATCTCTGTATCCAATCTGCAAGACGCCATCGGAAAAAGCGGACCTCAGGGGATCGCCCGGGGATTGGACCTTTTCAAGCGTCAATTAGGGAACATCCCCTATCTATATGGCCATGAAAACTCGAATATGGGCCAGGTGGTGTCTAGATGGACGCCTTCGGCTTCAGTGGAGAACAGATACATCGGACTTTTGACGGTTTTCGATCAGGCTATCAGAAGTATTCACGACATCATATCTGTCCCAACGTTGCAACAAGCAGCTCCGTACAGCATCATTAGCACTTTTCTCAACTACGTGCTGCTGTGGATGTTGATTGGGACCCGCACGAAAGAAGAGCTATGTTTTCTCCACTGCCTTCTCGACAAACAGGATGAACTATCATTCACCACAACAGTACAGATAAAGCTGCGCAACATCCTTGAAATGGCTTTGGGCGATGGGAATGGTGGTTCGCCTAGAGCTGAAGTAATATTCCGGCACGCTTCTCAGGAGCTTACTCGCCTAGGGACTTGGGGAGCATCACTCAATCTTGCTTTGCTACTACGGCTCAGAGCTAGTCAGTAGTGATTGGGATTGAATAGTAATCTTCATCTTCCTTCGTGGTTCAGACAAGTTTCATTTCCGATCTCCGTTGCTTTCAATTGCAGAGTCGGCGCAAAACTGGCCTCAACCCCGTCTAGCGTCTCGTCTCACATCAGACAGCTCTCGTAACGTTAACCGCGGCCTGATAAAGCCAAAGTCACAGGCGAATGACTGTGCGCGAACCGGCATTCTTCAGATCCTACCTATCATGGAACTTCCGGAAGGCAAATTCGAATACTACTAATCAAGGTACAATGATTCCGTGAAGGGCATCGCAGCCGAGCGGGGAATGTCCCAATCAGAGACCGAACTTGAGTTTCGCGGGCACACAGTACTCGCGTCTTGTCCTTCTTGTGAATTTCTCAGTTATCGACTTGAACCACTTGCTGGCGCCACAAACCAGCATTTTAAATGTAACATTGACGCAATGGTCATAAACAAGTCACCTTTCCCGGATGTCCATGCAGCGCTCAAATCTCGCATTTGATGTGTGGTCTTGGAGCATGAACTTTTGCATCATCACAAAGTTCCACAAATCATCCATCAGTCCTTTGGCCTTTTGAATGATAACCAACTGCGAAAAAGCCATTATGCAAAGTAGGTCTGCTTCTCGGCCGCTCTGATTGACACGTAGGGCCATATATCAATCGCTGTTGAGTGATCATCCCCCTTTTGGGAAGGTATCCGGCTATCGGCCATGCACTGGTCAAGATGCACAGTTACAGCGCAGAGTCTCAGTCGGTGCTTCTTCCAGCTGCCGGTCGTAGCCGCACTAATGAAGTGGCAATGAAGCTGCACATATCAACAAAGGGTTCAGAAGGAACGTCCTATGATTAAAGTTGTACTTTTCCACCGACCCGCAATCTCCGAACCAGATCTAGCATTCGTAAGTAAAGAAGAGACCTTCATGTGTTTATCCGTGTTGTGGGTTCGCATCAGGCCCATGGCAGGAGCCTCCCGAGTCTTCGCAGTGGACCACGCACACACCCTTGTGTTTTCCTATCGGCTCCATGCGACGCTACGCAGAGCGACTGTTGAGACACGCGCAGTAGTCGCCGCATTTAGGTCCACAATTACACGTGGTAGCTGTACAAGTGCGTCTCCTGTTGCATTTGTGCACTCTGACTGAACCGCATGCAGATGCATTGCTTTTCCTCGGCAAGATCGGCTTTGCGAGAGCCCAGGAAACAGGAATCATAGCGCAATTATTAATCAAACGCGTTGGGAAAAGAATGACTTGTCTGACCTGATCCCCCACCGCCTCTGAAGGAGCGTGTGTGCTTTTCCGTGCGGTGAGCCTCGTCATCGCCCCCGTTCGTGACGGCCCCCCATGAAACGGAAAAGCAAACCACCTGCCATTACAGACTCAGGTCGCAAGGCTCCTTGTTAAATGGCTCTTTTCCGATACGACACTTCCCTGTCAACTGCCTGCGAGGGCCTTTACCATGTCCATACTAGCGCAGGGTCTAAATCGGCCAGCTAGCTGCTCTTTCCCCAAACCCCGCACGAGCGGAAAAGCTCGGCGCCCCATCTACCCCATTTCCCCCATGGGGGGCTCCACGCAGATGTGGCTCCTTATCACGACTTCAGCGGAGCTAACGCGGAGCCTACGGAGACGTGGGGAGAGGTGTTCGTCTTAAGCTTGCTCCGGTATATATGGCGGTTCTGCACAGACGGAGTGGTCTTCTGGCGACGTTCTGGGCTCTCAGGTTCTCGTTCATCCAGCGCAAGACCTCGACTCGGCCGCTGTTCGACCGCGTTAGACGACCACGGACGCCCTGAATCTCGTTTCGGAGACACACATACACCAAGATGGCTGCGCCAAGGAAATCAGAGGAGGGCAAGGCGGACGTCAGCCAAATGGAGCGCGTTTTGACCGCCGGCTCTCTTGGCGACGTCGACAAGCCCAACCAGGACTCGAAGGTCGACGAGTTTGGAGCACACACCAAGACCGACCCCAAGGAGATCGCCTTGGTCAAAAAGATTGATTGGTACATCTTGGTATGTCTTGGCAGATAATTTGCGCGTGGTACAGAGACTGACTGAACTCTTCGCGAAGCCCATTCTCTGGGTGATGTACTTGTAAGTCACCACACCCTTTCAGAGATGTGACTCGTACTAACAGTAAGCTTTCCAGCTTGAACTTCCTCGATCGCAATGCCATGATCAATGGCAAGCTGAATTCTCTTTCGAAAGACCTGAACCTCAAGGGCACTCAGTACAACACCTGCGTTTCCATCCTATTCGTCGGGTAAGTTGGAGGTCCTCAGCGTTGCAGACACACTAAGCTAAATGTCGGTAGATACCTGTGTGGCCAAGTTCCCTCCAACATGATTCTCAACCGAGTGCGACCATCTTGGTACATGGCTGGTATGTATGCCAAGTTTCCGACGAGATACGCGAATTCCTAACCGAGGTGTATAGGGTTCATGCTGGCGTGGTCGATCATCTCCCTGCTCACGTACATGGCGCATGACTACTCGACGATGCTTGCCTGCAGGTTCTTGCTTGGAATTACTGAGGCTCCCGTAAGTCCATACATCCCGTGGCTGGCTACATGAGGACAGCATTAACTGACAACATGAAGTTCTACCCTGGCGCGCTGTATATGCTCAGTATGTTCTACACGCGAAAAGAGATTGCCACGCGTATGGCAATTTTTTACACCGGCAACATGCTGGCCAGCGCCTTCTCGGGCTTGATTGCCGCTGGTGTCTTTGCTGGGCTGGATGGAAAGCACAATCTCGCTGGGTGGCAATGGTGAGCTTCGCAACCTCCTTTTTGTCATCTCCCGTGCTAACATTCACTAGGCTCTTCATCATCCAAGGTGCCGTCTCTATCGTCGTTGCCATCGCGGCATTCTACCTCCTCCCCGACGCCCCTCTCAAGACCAGATGGCTCACCGAGGAGCAACGTCAAATGGCCCACAAGCGCATCTTTGACGATACGACCGACCGTCGCGAGGGTGGAACCAGTGTCTGGAAGGGACTACGCGAGGCCTGCTCCGATTGGCGTACCTGGGTGTTCTGTCTCATGGATAACATGCATCTCTCGGCGAACGGCTTCAAGAACTTCCTTCCCAGTGTCGTCAAGACTCTGAACTACAACACAACAATTACGCTGGTGCTGACGTGCCCGCCGTATATTCTTGCCGGTATTCTTAGTATTCTCGTCTCGCACTCCTCCGGTCGCTTCAACGAACGTACCTGGCACACAACTGTGAGCAAGCTGATCGCTTGCGCTGGGTTCGCAATGAGCGTGGCCACCCTTAACACTACTGTCCGCTACGTCGGAATTATGATCTTTGTTGGTGCGACATACGGCGTAAACAACATTATTTTGGGATGGACGGCGTCGGTATTGGGACAGACCGACGAGAAGAAGGCAGTCGCTATCGCCATGTGTAACACCTTTGGCAACCTTGCCAGTGTTTATACCCCTTACCTGTGGCCCGACTCCGATGAGCCTAGGTACTTGAAGGCTATGCTGGCCAGTATCGGGTTCTCGCTTGGTGTTGTGGTGTGTGCATGGGTAATGCGCTTCGCACTTCAAAGGCAGAATCGCAAGATGCTCGCTTCTTCCAACGGAGGGGTAACGAACCTGTATGTGTACTAAGCATTGGGAATTACGATCATGATTATGCGAAAGGCTGTGCGAGCATCATTGACCCCGGATTGGGTCAAGCAGAGGTGAAGTACTGGTGGGATCTAAGATTAGAACTAGATATAGACTCTTATACCAAGTCCAATACGATAAGTGTCAGACAGTTACTGTTTCTTCTCGTTCAGCACCATCTGGAAGGCTTCTTCGAAAGATTCCTGCCAGTCTTCCTCGGTCTTCTGCGGCTCCCAACCAAGCTCAATGGCGAGGACTGGCTTGGTTGCCGAACTGCAAGGGCGTGTCAATATTTATCCTCTTCCCACATTTTATGGGATTTATCGCTGACTCACTTGGCTGCATAGTTCATCTCAACAACATGTGGGGGCGCTTGCAAAACAGTGGTATAGGCCTCCTCCAACGACACAGATTTGGGCTCAGCAGACTTCAGTGCACCAAGCTTGACCCCGGCCTTCCCAACGCCTCTGGCAATATCAAGCCAGTTGTGGCTACCGGTATTGGAGAAGTAGATTCCTTTCCGGCCAGAAGGGATATCATCCCCAGCCAAAATCTTGCTGAGGACAAGCTCATAGAGAAGAGCAAGGTCGGTGACGTGGACATGTCCGAGCCGGCAGGTCCCGTCGCCAACGTACAGCGGAACGCCGGCTTTGATTGAGCCACGAATGATACTGGGGATCTGCATAGAACCTTGGTTGAAGTATCCCTTGCCGCGGCCGTAGATAGTTGGAGGCATCATGACGTATGTCTTAACGCCCGTGCGCTCACCTGTTTTGACGACTGCAATGTCGGTGGTTCGCTGACCGTAAGTCTCTTCGGCTTCCTTCTGCTCCTCGAACGAGAACACGTCTTCTTTGTCCGACCATTCATGTACGTCGGAAGGGGTCTTGGTGATAGTGCGCTGCGCCAAGTTGGAAGTACCCGATGTCTACGCAATGAGTCTGTTTGTCCGGGCAATCGCGGTCGTTGGCCCAATGGCTTACCTGGATGAAGTAAACTTCCTTGCCCGTATGTTTCTTTCTATCTCCGAGACCCTCAATCAACGCGACGGCGGAGCCGGTATGGAATCCACTCGGAGTGTGGATGACATAGTCGTGCTCGCTGGCCGCTTTTCTGAGCTGCTCAGAGTCGTCCAGGCCATTGAAGAGGACTGCGTTGATTCCCTTCTGTTTGAGAAGATCAACCTGTTCTTGTTTCCGAACAAGGACAGTAATTGACAAGTTCTTGATCTCGGGGTAAGTAGAGTTGAGAAGCTGATGTAGCACCGTGCCACCACTGATCTACGCATCAGTCTCCATCTTCCCAGAGAGTGCGTCAAAGTCAGGCAAATTAACTCACACGAAGCCCGTGGCACCAGTGAGGAGTAGTCGGCCAGTCATGATGGTAGGGAGGGATAACTGTCACAAAAGCTATCTTGGAAAGTGTCGTGTCGTGGCATGAACTGGCGGGGTATCCGGCTGAAAGTTATATCGTGACATCAGTCCGGCGTTGTGGAGACGCACCATTACCAATGACGGCCGGGATATGTATTCCGCGGAACGCCGGCCGAATCCCCGTGGAGTGGCGCCACGGCCGCTTGCACCATTAAGCTTAACTAAACTCTCTCGACGCTGCACACTAAAACACGACGTCATCACACAGGAGAGGATCCCGCAGTTGAAATCCACCCACAGCTGTCAAAACATACCACTCCAATTGAATCCCGCTCAAATAGACGAGTTCTCATAATGAGAAGCAAGTCTACACCGACGCAGACCCACGGACCGATGCCGGTCGGGGTGGGGCCGAGCTTTTTACAACAGCTACCACTGCTACTGATCACCATATTATTTCCGAGGCTTTGAGCGGTTCAACATCGTGTCGTCCGGCAAGACGACTCCTAACACATTTATTCGTCCAAATTTTGAAGTCCTTCATCGAGAGCCGGACTGCCTCTCATCAACTGATGGGCTCTTCTTGCGGCAACACACTGACATCGACAATGCTGACCCAAATGTTCTCCTTGTTCTCGCTGTATGCGACAATCAGCTTATCCCCGACCTGCACTGCTGTGGGATAGCTGAACCCGAATGCCCGATTTTTAATCCCGTCGCGCGTATCTGGCACAATCTCCCTCGTCGCATTGGTTCGCAACACTCCGATTGCCTTGTACCTTTGATAGTTCCCTCGAGACAACGCAAGCGTGAGTGGCTGGCGCTGAGGGTCGGCAGCGTTGTACCTTGGGTTCGACAGAAGGAATCTGTCCCCAGTGGCTAGCTGTCCGAGGAATTGTTTGGTCTTCGCGTCCGGGATGTTAGTCTGGTAAATCTTGTTTCCCATCTTGTTCTTCACTTTTGGATACCAGCCGTCGCCTTCGGGGTCGTCGTTGTACTCAACCCAGACGGAGTGGGTATTGTTCGCTTCCGTGGTGATGTCTCGCCAGTGGCGCTGCCAGTAACCTCCCGTTGGCGAGTCTGCATCGTCATGCCACACTGCAAAAGTCTGCTCCTCCATCTGATGAATGCCGTCAGCGGCGAAGAGGCCGTTGTTGTACAACCACGGTGACCACGCAGGAGCCTCATCTGGCCTGCGAAGTATTGAGTTGATCTCGCAAGCGCGGGTGCAGTATTTCATGCCGTATTCCGTGCCGTAAACAGTCTCCTCGTACCGTTCCGAGTCAGTCCACTCGTTCTTCTCAATCCAGCAAGGGTCCTGAAGAGGCTCTCCATCAAGCGAGATCTCAACCGCAATGCGGCCAGCCGACGTCCACCGCCCGGGACACCAGCGGCTGCCGGACTGGCCTATCGCGTAAAGCGATCCATCGGAGAGATGCACAAACGTAAGAGCCTGCCATGCTCGCTGCGCGATCCCGCGATCGCACCAGTACTTCCAATTGTATGCTTCTGTCTGGTTAGGAAGCAAGGCGGCCGGCATCAAGCTCTTGCCTGGGCTCCACGTGAGACCGCTGTCGTTGGATGTTGATATCCAAACATCCTGTCCCATGCTATCCTCATCAACCGGAGCTGAAGAGTAGATGAGAAAAACGTTTGAGCCAATAGAGAAGAGTTCCGGGTGGTGAGCGTAGGTTCGGTTTTCAGCAACTCCATTGTAAATCTGGATCTCCTTCTGGACGGGGATCTGTTCCCATCCTGCGTAGAGAACGTCGCTGTAGTTCAGAGGCGGTGAGATCTGCCAAAGGCTGTCAGGCGGCGGCGGTGCTCCAGCGATCGGGCGGAGCCATGCCGAAACCAGGAAAAGAAGGAGCATTGATAATGAGTTCGCCAAAGGACTGTAACGCATCTCCAATCGAATTCTCTTCAAACACGACAATTGGTGATTAACATAAGCAACTGAAAGAAATAGTCTGATGGGGTTTGCTCGACCACAGAGTAGTCTAGACGGAGATGTGCTTCTTCGGGTCGGGTTAATTGGGAACAACTTACTGAGGGCCAAGATAGTTCTTGGCATAGAAATGAAGCTAATTGGGGGAATATTTTGGTGAGGGGACTCCGGCACGCGGGGTTCTGCTAATCGGGAATGACTCCAAATGAGGGGCTCGCGCGTTGTGCACATTAATTACAGCAGGCAGTCATTGTGAAAGCATTGATGTCATCCGATCCTGTAAAGAAGGAAACCTCGGTTTGAATGGGACTCATTCCATCTTTCAACGGATGCAACGTGTGTTCTGTGATTGGCGCAGGTGCATGCGTTACTTTGGCTAATTGGAGCTGCGTCTTGAGACGGGCGCGAGTAAATCTAGGAAGACGGCGGGTCTTTTCTGGAAGCTCTTCAATGCAGTAGGGTCGCATTTGATCGGCAGACGTATCCGAGAGAAACCAGATGAGGTATTTTGGTCGAGATACTCTAGCTGGCACGAAGACTTATGAACGCCTGCATTGAAATCTCAGCACCTATTGATAATACCTCACCATGTTATGAATAGATTTTCAAGACGAAGCTGAAATCCGGAGCCTCAATGACATGAGTAGTCCCATATTGTTACACGTCAAAATTAGAGATCGCAGCGGGCCGAGATCACAGATAGAAGTTGCATTTTGGCACAAGCGAGTTCAACACTTCCGTGTCTGCATGTAACGGGAAAGGCCTTCGATGGATAGAAATATTGCTGAACCTTTGAAAACCCACATCTGACTTCGACTTCGTTGATCAGTCTGTCAAAGTCAAGGTTGTTGCGAAGCCCTGGTGGAACCATACCTCTGCTCCCCACCCCAAAAGATCGCAACAGCCCCGGCAACCTCGAGTCAGGCATTTCCAAAAAGGTCAGCCGTTCAATTTCCAACTTCGATAGTCTCAGTCTCCCAATCTCCCTGCAATGATTCTGGCCCAGCTCCAATAGACTGCAGCTTTTCAGGCTTCTGCAACAGCTCCTCCGTGGTCAAGCCAGGCCATACCGCCATCCATCTTCCCTTCAAAGAAACCTTTGCCTTGCCCGCCTTCCACACATCCTCTGGCACCCTGGGCTCGCGCAGTTCGACCACGTTCTCGGCGCTCTCGCCCGGCTTCAGGGTCACCAACGACTCAGGCCCGGGTGGCATCTTGCGCCCGACCTTGATCGCAGCGATGTGCATCGGCTCAGAGGCACCAGCTGGAGTGACGGATACCTGGCCCAGGCCGAGGACGATTGGGTCAACAGGGGAGTTCCATTTGATGATCGTCACGGGAGTGTCAGGATGTGTGTTTTTGACGGATACCTTCACGCTGGGTGGAGACGAGGCAGATTGAGACACGCTCACTTCCAGGTTGCTGAGGAAGGACGTCGAGTCGGCCATTGTCAGAGTCTCAATCGGGGAATGGAAATAGAGCGTGAGAAGAATGACGGCGCCGAATATCAGGGCGACCGGGAACGTGAGGGGTCTGTGGTTGCGGCGCTGAGGGATCATGTATGATGACTTGAGTCTCGATGAACTGGATTGCTGGACTGATTGCTGAACAAACAGGCAACAAAAAGTTCCTCTTCAGTGATCGAGTTTGCAATAGCGACTGTGTGTGCCTTGGGACTGGTGTTTGCCGGCAGAACAACGGCAGATGGCGATGCTCGTACCGAGGGGGAATACGAGGCTTTTTCTGGCGCACGTGTGTATGGCTACTGAACAGGCCGCAACTCCTGAATGGATCGACGCCAGCCCTGAAGCTGTTTTAGGCAGGTGGCAAGCTTGGTTAGGCACCGGAGGTTTGCTGAATATTAAAGCGGACGGAGCGTGGTGCGGGGGGCCGGAGGAGGTTACGTATACGGAGTGCGCTGCCGAGATTAGCTAATGCTGGAAATGGGGCCGTCCAGAACCCGTCCTTAATCAAAACGTCGCGCTGCCAAGGCTGCCAAGGCTGAAGCGCGGCTTTCTGGTTGGTGTTGAGCGATCGTGAAAATAAACAGCGAACCAGGCGCCGAAACGGCCCACTACTCTATTTATTCTAAACTCCGAGCCTGGCACCTGCGACCCCATATCTCGTGCTGATCACCACACTCAGGGGGCAACTATTCACGATGACCGTTCCATCTTGCAAGCAAGCGAGGGAGGAATAGCCTCAACTAGAGTGCCGTGGTCTCCGTAACTGGGCCCGCCATGGGGCCAGTCCGGCTTCTGTTTGGCCCACGGCTGCCGGTGTCCTGTCTTCTCTAGAGTTTGAGGCTATCGGAACGTCTTGGCTGCACACCCGCATTCCGACCAACGCGTTAATTCTCCGTGGCGGAAATGGGCTTGGCCTCGATCTGGGTCCTTGATTTTTCTTCTCCGTTACGCAAAATATTGCTCGTATTATAGGCGAAGATTGCCATCGTAACATGAGTCTCCCCGTGAAAGACGCAGCCATAAAGCTCTGCTGTCCCGCTGATCCTCAAACATAGCTTATGTTGTGAACCCATCAACGATTTCCATTCTTTCTCTCCAACTCCGTTCGTTCTTTTTCCTCATTCCTTATTCACGATGAAGGCCGCCACCGTCATCTCCTGCCTTGCGGCCCTCGCCAACGGCGCCGCAATCAACCTTGGCAAGCGGGCTGGGCCCCTCGATGTCAAGATCGAGCAGGTCGGCAACAGCGAATTGAAGGCCAGCATTACCAACACCGGCACCACGCCCCTGAGGGTGCTCAAGGCTGGTTCGATCCTTGACGGATCCCCCGTTGAAAAGGCCCAGTTTTCCACGGCCTCGGCAGATGGCGGTACGTGAACCTGGCACTAATAGAGAACATTGAACGAACATGATCTAACAACGTCAACAGTAAACAAGGTTGCCTTCACCGGCGTCCGCGTCTATGTCCACGATGCTGACCTCCCCGACACCGCCTTCCGCACCATCGCTGCCGGCGAGGTCGTCCAGGTCCAGTGGGACGCCGCCCAGGTCCACGACCTGAGCAGCGGTGGCGACTACAACATCTCCAGCACAGGCTCCCTTCGCTACGCTGAGGAGGGCAGCAACAAGATCGTCGGTCAGGTCGTTTTCGACTCCGGCGTTCTGCAGGCCAAGGTCGACGGTGTCCAGGCCGCCTCCGTCCACGCCGCCTTCCACCAGAGTCTCGCTGAGAAGCGCGTGACCATTCAGAGCGACTGCACCGGCTCCAAGAAGACCGCCGTCACGGCCGCCCTCTCCAAGGCCAAGAGCTACGCCACCGCGGCCCAGACCGCCGCGACTGCCGGCACCCGCGTCGAGCAGTACTTCGGCTCCTCCTCCTCGAGCACCAAGAGCACCGTCGCCAGCGTCTTCGGCAAGGCCGCCACCCTTCTCGGCAGCACGTCGAGCGGAGCCGGTCTGCACTGCACTGACGTCGGCAACTTCTGCAGCGACGGCGTCGTTGCCTACGCCCAGCCCGGCACCGACGGGTACATCGTCGTCTGCGACTACTGGTTCCAGTTCCCCGCCTCCACCAGCACCTGCCACGGAGCCGACCAGCCCTACGTCCTGGTCCACGAGTCCACCCACTTGTCCGAGGTCGCCGGCACTGACGACGTGTGCTACGGCTATGAGGGATGCGTTGACGGCCTCAGCACCTCGCAGGCGCTGAATAACGCTGACTCCTTCGCCATGTACGCCCATGGCATCCAGACCAACTGCTAAGTTGGGCATCGGCCGATGCAACATTGTGTGAGCTTCTTTGTATATTATAGGTACATCTGGAAATGTATAAATCCGTCTGTGACTTCAAATAAGGATTTTGTGATGTTGGCCAAACAAAGCCTAATGAAGTTGACCTGAAGGAGGGCAAGCACAGACTTTTGAGTATGTCATATGTGTCTGACGACACTGTGCTACTGCCACCATTGAAGTGAGTCTTGCATCGTGCCTCTTTCCGTGTAAGGCTGGTCATATCAAGACCATGGGTTCAGTCTATTCGCTCTCCTTCACCCATACTACCTACCTAGGAGTTTTCCGTCAGGTACACCAGAATTTAGTCATTAGTCCATTTCCCTTATTCGAAGTTTCAGAGGGATAGATTCTGGTCATTATGCACGATTCTACTATGTGAGTTTCTGAGGATGCTATGACAGAGGCATTGATTGACGTAGGGTGAGCTCGACTTCCACGCAAGAGTTCAACGCAATTCAGAACACGTTACTCAGACAAATATGAATACAATGACCTGGATAATGTGGGGAAACGTTATCAGACGGCTTTATTATGAAATTAACTGCTCTCTCATAACCCTCACTAAGCCATGTCCTCTCCTGCAATTTGTTGCAAGTTCCCCATGTAAACTTTGTTGCTCCTCAACCTGGCCTGCCTCATTTTCGCCTTTGCCGGGGCAGACCCGTCTGCAATGTGTCGTCGCACAAAAGCTGTGTCCAGCTGGGTCATGGCGGGTCAGGCTCAAACTGTCTAGTCGTAAACTGACTGTGCCAACCTGTCTTCCATTGGAGCATAGTCCAACCCTTGTTCTCTTCTACCAATTGTTCCACGTCCCAAGCGTCGCCCACCCAGAAATTGCATTTGACGACAGACGTCCCAGCTACAATAGCATGGATTGCCTGCGGAAAACCTTCGCGTACATACCAGGAATTATCTGACGAACCGGGCTGTTCCGGATCCTCACGCTGGCTAAAGGCGGTACGTTTGTGATCTCTTGCGTCTCTTCGCCTGACATCCCATCGCAGCGGTGGAAGAATGCCTCGCTCAAAGCAGATATCAATTGCTTGCTGCCACACAGCGTCTCGCTGAACCACTTCCCGGAAGATTTCCGCGCATGACGAGTCTCCATCGATAGTGAGGGTGAATGAACCTGGTGGCATTCCAGCATGTTCAAGTTCCAATGCCTCTTGTGCCCAGATCGCGACTTGGGATGACCATTCCTTCTGTGTGCGAGTTCCTTTGGTTGAAGGCTTTAACGCCATGCCAATAGCATATAAATCCCTGTATGTGATAGGTAGGATGGTCCTCCACATGTTGACCCGTCGTTTCACACGAAGCTGCGGGTTCTCTCGGCAAAATGGAATGAGCCCAAGCCCATGGCATTCAGAGAATGCGACTGCCAATCACTCTTCTTTGAGTAGGATTTTCCTGATATTCAATCGGGTATCCCTCGATAAAGACTTGAGAAACCGAATAGCTACAGCCGCTGCGGAGTAGTGATACTTGATCAAGCTTGTATCGAGTCCGCAATCGCGATCCCATCTTTCACGGCGAGCTTTCCGTTCCGCTTCCATCCGCTCCGCCTCAATATTGCGGATAAGATTCATCATGCCGTCAACTCTTTGTCGGGTCGGAATTTCCCAGGGATCGGGATTCAGTCCGGCCAGCCTCTCAAGGTGTGCTGGTTCCGTCCCATCATCGTTCCTGCGTTCCTCTCCAAGGACAAATACTCCGTTCTGGAAGTTTGAGAATTGCTCCGGGCTGAATCGATCCTTGTGTGCCAGAATAGTTTGCATGGCAGCACGGGAGAACTTGCGGAAAACAGACGGTGTTTCCTCGCAGCAGCCAGTGGAACTGACATTTCGCCAGTCCGAATGTTGCCTCAACTTGCCTTGGTCGTTGGTCCACCATTTGTTTGCTCTACCTTTGATCATGCCGAGGTACGGCGCAAATCTTGGATGATCCCGCGTGAGCTCCTCCCAGACATCATCAGGAACGCTGAGATTATCGGGGTATATGTTGTGCAACTTCTCCCCCAGCTGCTTCGATATACGCATGACTATATCGCCGAAACGACCGGCGGTGACGCGATGCTCCTCAGAACATGTCGTAGAAAAGTCGAGAGTATTCGTAGAGAACGGCACGGTCCTCAATTCATTTGCCACAGCTTTGCAGGTGAGCATGAAGGCAAGGTCGATGTTGTCGCCGTTGGCACATCTGAGGGTGTTACTTTCGAAGTCCAATACATAACCGCCGTCGGAAATGACGTATTGGCCGTAGATCAGATCCCGCACCTCGCGGGGCAGGTCGAAGAAATGGGGCATGACGTTGATTTGAAATGATGGGTAGTCGGGAAGATGTCGCTGTCAGTGCAAGTCAGGATTGGCCTAGGAACGGTCGAGCGTTGACGAAGGACGTAAAGGAATTCAAGACAGGGACGGCAGGCCATGTTTTGAATAACGCCAGGACGGCGCGTCTGACTCATCTTTGGGGCTTGCAAGGTGGATGACGAGACCCCCAGAAGAAGGTTGGTCAGAACCTACACAACGTGCACCCATCGCATAATTCTACTTCACCGAGGAGACGCGAACGAAGACTGGGGGATGAAAAGAAAGCGAAAAGGCAATGGAACAGAGGAAGAAAATCAGGCAGAGATGTACCGGAACGCTGACAGCACTCGCAGCTCACGCTTGCCAAGTCAGGACCAGCAAATCAAGTGAAGCAAACGGGGAGCAAGGGATGCAAATGAGACGAGGATTGACATACCGGCTGGAGCCTGGCGATAGCTGGAACCTACACTCGAGGGCACAAACTCAACGATGTGACTCTTCGCTAATGTTGCGAGTCAGCCTGATTCCGGAAACTCAAACTCATGGGAGTGTGAGTGGCGCACCTACCGTGGCCAAAAGGGTTCTCGTGGCCATGGCATAAGAACTCGACCGCTGCAAAACTTGATTAGACAGGAATCAACTAAATAGGGACCAGAGGGCTACCTGCTTCGAAAGAGGCCTCGAGCCTGTTCCTCACATCCTCCTATACGCGCGGCGACCCTAGAGGCAGACAAGTTAGCAAAATTCCAGATACGTAGGATTAAAAACCTACTTACATGATGTCCTTCCACCTCTTCGAATACGCGCGCAAGGAGAGCAACGCTGAGCTGGACGACCTGATCCGCGAGACCAAAGTCAAGGATATCGAGGGCTCCAGCTATGGCCTGCTTGCCTATGCTGACAAGATAGCTAGAGTAAGACTTTATTATGTGATAGAATAGAAGCAGGATTACTTTATAATACCCCTTCTCAAGTCCACCCGACTGTACCTGCTCAAAGCTTTGACCGACGAAGACGATATACGGCGGTTGTGGGGCCTCGAGATCGATATGGTCATGGTCGAGGCGCCTCTGCTGCCACGAAAGATTTAGGTCTGAGCGAAAATAGAGCTTCATAGCATCTAATAGGACAGCCTGCTACAAGTGGCATAAGTGGGTCATGTCTTCTGCCTTACCTAAGGCTGACGTCCATGCGTTTAAGGTCTTCTCCGTGGCCACCGCTTCCTTATACAACACAGCTCATTCGACAACATTAACCCTGCCGCGAACCCCATTTGCTCTAGATCTTGTATGTTCGGATTTACCTTCAAGGTTGACTACTCTAAAAGGGAATAGAAACCGTCATGGAAAACGACCTGCTAAACGAGGTAAGCGCTTACCTCGACGAAATCGTCAAGCGTCTTGTCGACCACCTGAGAGACCAACTCGTCGGCGTCTATCTTCTCGGTTCTGCCGCCTACGGCGCCTATGAGCCAGGCTCCAGCGACCTCGATGTCCAGGCAATCGTCAAGAATCCGCTCGAGACCGATGAAAAGCAAGCCATAATCTCCCTGTTGAACCAAGATGCGTTGCCATGCCCGGCCACCAAACTTGAGCTCGTCGTCTATGCTCAAAACTCGGTCAATCCAGCCAGCCGCCACCCACGTTTCGAACTCAACCTGAATAGCGGACCTCACCAAGCCGACCATGTCAGTCTCGACCCCGCCAACGAGTCGAGTCACTGGTTCTTACTGGACATCGCCATGGGACGTCAACTTGGTGGCTGCCTGCACGGCTTTGCTATAACTGAGGCTTTTGGGGCGGTTCCCGACAGCTGGGTTTTGGAAGCAATCGCGGACTCGCTGGCATGGCACCAAGCAAACGAAGCGAACTCGACCAACAGCGCTCTTAATGCTTGCCGAAGCTGGCAATACATCGCTACTGGCGAGTTTTCGTCGAAACTGAATGGGGGCAAGTGGGCCATGGGCCAACCGGATTGTCCACCTATTGTCAACAGTGCTATTGCAGCCCGCAATGCAGGGGGAGAACTTCCTGTTGCTCAAATGATGGAACTTTTTGACTTCGTCGCCAAGGCCAATCGCAATAAGCTGAATAATGATATTAATTGAGCATGGTGCTGTCTTTTGGTAGTAGGTGAGCAACATTTTGTCTACAACCGCTAGCTCTGGAGACATTCTAAACCCCATCAGCGCCCCTGAGCCACTCCACAAGCGAGTACTTGGAGCTGCGTAACAGCACTTGAAACGGTGGATCTCAGAGGACCATGCCTACTTGTCTAACATTGCGCGTATTTGAAAGACATACTTCCTCGTCAGGGATATGAACATGGCGCCAGCCAAACCTGTTGTCGGGAATGCAAGTCTGCGTGCGTGGCCGGTGTAACGCAAGCAACGACGGCCGCCGTGGGTAGAGTTTCAAAGGAGTAAACGGGTCATGGGGAGGTGTGTCACAGATTCCTCAAGTACGTGTTTTTGTTTTGTCCGTCTCGCTCGAGTATTTGAAGAGTCCGCGCGCCTTCAATCTGGGTTTCAAATGGGCAATTGAAACTTTAACGTCCAATTGTAAAGCGCAGAAGGTTTTAGCTGATGGGATAAGTATCCTCTGGGGAATATTGAGACCAGTAGCCCGAAGCAGCAAAGGTAGAGAAATATCAAGATTGCTATCTTAGATATATTTGACCAAACAAACGTCAAAGACTACGCCGGCGGTATGTCATTTGAAACCTGCTTAGGAGCCTCACCTCCATGGAATAGTCCCACGGGGATTGCAAGCTCAGCCCGTAAGCACCCAGTAGCAACAACCCTACTTGCAAGGTAGTCTCAAGTTAGCGTAATGAGTGATTTGGCTGGCGTTGGCCGAGCTTCCAGCCAATCTTTCATGATGTAGTTGCTTGAGGCACGTATGCAGTCCAGTCCTATGGAATTCATGCGAGAGGGCTCATACAGGGTTGTTTGTGGCTGTGGCTCTCCGAGAGCAAAGCAACGGAGGGTTGTTCGCGGAGATTAAGATGCCTCTGCCTACAAAAACTCCCTAATTCAATCAGGCGGTTATACTCTTCCACTGTTCCGTGACAATTACAAATGTCGACCTCAAAGTTGAGAGATCCGCTCATTGACGAGGAAGAAACGCCAGTTCAGAGCAGGCTTGGAAGTTTATCTGGTATTGCGTAACCTTTGAGGAGAGAGTTGCGACTCGATGGGATTCTGCTTCAACTCCATTCCCAAGCTGCTGCACCCAGAGACCATTCCGAGTACTGAATGCTTCTCGTGCGAACCTCGCGGACGGGGAGACTTAGGATGTTATCTACGCATTGACGTTCGATGCCAAGAATCTCATCACTCGTCATAGCGGCACAGCTAGAGTAGTTTGAAGATACCCTGCGTTCAAACAGTGTCGTAGTGTGTTCAAGTAGTTTGTCAGGTGTGTTTAGCCCGTCGAGCCGAGGCTGGCGGTTTAAATCGACACAAGTGCCCGCAGATAGGACTCCGATAACTCGACCAAAACATCTCGATGGATTTTCAGAATGCAATCGTCCATCTCCATCCCCAAAAGGCCACTTCCAAGATTCCAAACCTGCCAAAACGGACTTCGAGCATTCCCACCTTCCTCACCAGATCTTTCAGCACTTTAGGCACTTCACAGTACCCGCGGATCATCAGAGATGTTACCTGTGGTGCGGCTGCATTCAACGCAGATTGAGGAGCTAGATTACTGACGCTCTGAAAACATAAGCCCCGAGGCCTGGCATGGCGGGGTGCCTTCTTCACAGGCAAGCAAGTGATCTGGTTGCTACATTTGACTGTGCTTCCGCGGCGAGAAGCAATGTTTGACGGGTTTAACCCCAGATTTGACGACAGGAATGAAGGCAATAAATCTGGAGACATTAGAGATGACAGCAGCAGGAGTCATAAGAGGTTGAGGCAGCGATGGAAAGGATGAAGGTGGCAGAGTCATGGCTAGCAGAAGCAATAAGCATATTGATCCCTTGTCTGAGAGGGCTTCATCTCATCAGCTGCATTGGAGGGTCGGGGGATTTACTCACCCTCTTTGTTGGGCAATTGAGAAGGCTCCTCAATTGAGAAGGCTCCTCTATTTGAAAGGACGAACAGAGTCGCACGGGTGAATGTTCACTTCAGGCACAGACTCCACACGAGGCAGCCTCACACTTGCGTGGATGAGATAAAGGGATTCTGTTGAGCGCTTTGTACTCAGATGCTTTCTCAGGTCTAGTAATGTGCATTCTGGTATCAATCGCCATTGGTGGCAACCATCTACCCTAGCCGTCATCCTCAATGGCTCGCTCTAATAACTCAAACGTTTTATGTATTCTATCCATGCACACTGTAGCTCGACGAGAGATCTGGCGGCAAGTGGAACATCTCAGTCCCTCCTGCGCGTAACCCCCGACATCTGCTTAGTTGGTCTGAGCCAAACGGCGACGGGTGATCTGGGCATACGACTGCGTCTCCTGTCCGGTAGCATCAGTGACGGAGGCTAGGAACTTTCCCATCTGCTGATGAGCCGCCGCCGGAGTCTCAGAGATGGAGTTGTTGCTCAGATGCGAGCAGCCGTCGAATTGCGAGCCCGAAGAGACTCGGCTGCTTGGGAGAGAATAGATATCACTGGCATCGCTGCGTGACACCACGCTGGAGGCCGTGCTCTTCTAGTCCACGGTGCGCTCCGCGTTGGTGGCACCGCCACGCCAAAGGCCGTAGAAGCCGTCGCAGTTCTTCCACAGCTTGATCGTGCCGTCTTCGGAGCTGGTCGCGTACAGCTTGTTGTCAGGGGCAAAGGCGATAGACCAGATGGGACCGTGGTGGCCCTTCAGGGTTTCTGCGGCTTATCAGTAACGAGTCCATCGTGCTTTCTCGGCAAGACTCACCAATCTCGGTGCCATCGTCCCAGCGGCAGACACGCGCCCAGGTGCCAGGCTCCTCTCCAACAACAAACTTGCGTCCCTTGATATCGAGGCCAACACTAGCAACGCCGTGCTTCAGCTCCATGCGCTTGAGCTCATCCATGGCCTGGATGCCGCCCCAGAAGTAGACGGACTTGCCGGCGGCAACCGCCAGGACTGGAAGACCGCCGCCAATATCGCCAGGGGAGGTGATTTCGGGAGCAAGAGAGACCAGCTCGCAAGACTTGATCTCGCCGTCGAGAACCTCCTGACGAATGACTTGGCGCGTGGGAAGGTCGAACCAGCGGAGGGTGTTATCGGAAGCGGTGACGATCGTGTTAGGGTCCTTAGTCCAGGCGATGAACTTGATTGAGCCGGTGTGGGTGCCCTCGCCAATCTCGAAACCGGCCGAGGCCTGGACAGTCACAGGACCGGCGGCATCGTTCGGGTTGGGAGCAAAGTCGCTCAGGTCAAAGACGCGCAGCTTCTTCTCCATACCTCCGGTCGCGATCAGGTCAGAGTTGTCGGGAGGGTAGGCAACGGCGCGGACGATGTGGTTGTGCTGGAGAGTGTAGAGGACCTCGCCGCTGTGGGTGTCCCAGACCTTGCTACAAATCGTTAGCCACTACTCGCAAGTCGAAAGTCGCACAGAGCTTACGCAGTGAAGTCAGCAGAGGCGGTGGCAGCGTTAGAGGCATCAGGACTAAGTCTGGCCTGCCAGACGGCACCCTTGTGGCCGATGAAGGTTCCGATCCTATCAGTCAGTTAGCAGTGCCACTACGCGGTCGATGTGCTTCGCCCTACCAATCGCCAGTGAGGCCATCGCGCAGCATAGGGTTTCCGTCTGCGACAAGGTTAGCATTGCGCCGATCGCAAAGCCGGGTCGCGTGTCGCAAGCTTACCCTTGCAGGCGGAGATCATGTAGTACTGCTCTTCCTTTTCCAGAGAAGAGAAGCAGACATGAGGAACGGGTCGCGAGTGGCCGTGGCAGGTGAGGGGGACGTATTGACGCGAGGTCTCGGCCGCAGCAGAAGGTGTGGTCGCCATGGTGCTGGTGATCGGTAGTTTGAAGGGATTTCGAAGGTGTTCGCTGTCGCAACGTGTGCGTCGGGGGAGGAGAGGGGGGGTATCAAACGGAAGTCGTTGACGCGGGACAAATGCCGAGGTGTACGATGTGTAGAGAGCCAATGTCCGCGAGGAAAGAAAAAGGAGAGTCAGTCAATACAGCCGTAACGTCGTAAATGTTCGTGGAGGATGCAATGGGGTCGTGAGAGAACGCCTCGGGCAGCGCAGGGGAGGAAGAAGCAGAAGCAAAAAAACGGGAATCAAGAAGATAGCTGCGAAACAAAGTGGATGGAAGCAAATGGGAGAGCAGCGCGAAGGAAATAATAGTGGGGTTCTGTCCCGAGTCGGAGCAGAGCCCATGGAGGTTCTGGAAGGAAGGAGGACGCTGATGCACCGAGATTCAATGGACCCCTGAAACTGAAAGCGAGGTGCTGCTGCTGCAAGAGGACAGAGTTGACCCCGCGCTGCTTCCTTCGGCTGCTGTGGCTTGAAAGGAGCGGGGAGCTGCTGCCTCGGGCGGAGCTGATTGGACGCAACGAGACGGCACCATGTGCTTTGATAAGCAGCTCCTCAACTGTGGCTGGTGAGCTGCCACTTGACCAGTTCCGGCAGGGAAGTCAATGGAAGCAGAAAGGCGGCAGGGATGGAGCTGTTGATTGCCCGGGGGACACCTGCACCGACCCCCCCAATGGCCCCTCCCCGCCTGCCCCCCTTGTGGCGCAGTGGAGCTTCGCCGTTCCCGCTTCCATCGTCATCGTCCGGTACCTAGTGTAGCTGCCACCATTACCAAACCACCCACACGTTGCAGCACCACGACAACAGCCACCTCCTCCGGATCATCAACCGAGGTGTGAGCTATCTACACTTGGTCCTCTTCAGCAATTTCTGCATACCATTCTTTCTACTAGGCCTAAGTCGACAGCCATGGCCGATTACAAACTCTCCGCCCAGCTGTCTGGCCACGACTCCGACGTAAGTACATGCAACGATGCTTCGCTGTTTGTTTCACGGCTAACGTGATTTGTGATCAACAGGTCAAGGCTGTCAGCTTCCCAGCTTCCCATACCATCCTATCCGCCTCTCGCGATGGCAGCGTAAGAGTCTGGCGCCAGGTCTCCGACTCTCCCCCCTCCTTCGAACCTTCCGTCTCGAGCCAGACCTCCGAATTCGTCAACTCCGTCACGTACCTCCCACCTTCCGAACAATACCCTGATGGCCTCATTGCGTCCGGCGGCAAGGATACCATCGTCGAAGTCAGACAACCACAATCCAGCCAAGGTGACAATGCCGAGCGTCTCTTGATTGGCCACTCCCAGAATGTATGCAGTCTGGACGTCTCGCCCAAAGGAACATACATCGTGTCAGGAGGCTGGGATTCTCAGGCCATTGTGTGGAGCACCAGCACGTGGGAGCCCGAGATTCGCCTCAGCGGCCACGAGAAGAGCGTCTGGGCCGTCCTTGCGCTTGACGAGGAGACTGTCGTGACTGGCTGCGCCGACACTAGCATTCGCATATACAACCTCAAGGCTGCCGTCGCCGGGGACGCTGAGCCCCGATCCACCATCTACACCCCCGAAGTCGTGCGCGCCCTTTGCAAAGTTCCGAAGGGCCACCCAAGCGGTGCGGAGATTGCCAGTGCCAGCAATGATGGCATTATCCGTCTGTGGAAACTGAATGGCCAGCAGGTCGGCGAGCTCCATGGCCACGAGAGCTTCATCTATGCCCTGGCAAGCTTGCCTTCAGGCGAGCTAGTAAGCTCCGGCGAGGACCGCACTGTTCGCGTGTGGAAGGGCAATGACTGCGTGCAGACCATTACTCACCCTGCAATTTCGGTGTGGGCTGTTGCGGTCAACGCCGAGACCGGCGATATTGTGTCGGGAGCAAGCGACGGTGTTGCGCGAGTCTTCACCCGCAGCAGCGAGCGGGCAGCCGGTGCCCAGGCCATTTCCGACTTTGAGGAGTCTGTCAAGGCTTCATCCATTCCTCAGCAGCAGCTGCCATCTATCAACAAGGAACAGCTTCCTGGTCCAGAGTTCCTCGAGTCGAGGTCCGGTACCAAGGAGGGTCAGGTGCAGATGATCAACCAGGGCAACGGCAACATTACCGCCCACCAGTGGTCAGCCAGTAAGTGATTGCAGCAGACAAGCGGCACGACTTGACAGTACTGACTTTTTGTAGGCCAACAACAATGGATCAACATCGGAACTGTCGTCGACTCAGCGGGCAGCAGCGGCAAGAAGACCGAGTACAATGGCAAGTCCTACGACTACGTTTTCGATGTCGATATTGAGGATGGTAAGCCGCCGTTGAAGCTGCCTTACAACCTCTCTCAAAACCCCTACGATGCTGCCACGAAGTTCCTGAACGACAACGAACTTCCAATCAGCTATCTCGACAATGTCGCCAACTTCATCACACAAAACACCCAAGGTGCGACTCTCGGTCAGTCTGCGCCAGCCACCTCTGATCCTTATGGCACGGAGTCAAGATATCGGCCCGGCGAGTCTGAGTTGAGGCCCAAAGTTTTGCCGCAAGCCGAATATCTGAATATCACGGCTGGCAAATACGATGCCATGATCAAGAAGATTCTGACTATCAACGCAAATATGATTTCATCTGGTCGGAAGGATGCGGCTCTGAACCCAACCGAGCAAAACACCCTTAACGCGGTAAAGGAAGCCATCGAGAACTCCAAGCCTGTTGATCAGGCTGGTATTGACCTTGCTGTCAAGATTGTGACCTTGTGGCCCTACTCGGATCGTCTGGCGGGGCTGGATCTTCTCAGATGCGTTGCGACGTCGCCTCTTGCTGCGGACGCCTCGTCATCTGAAGGGTCATTCCTTCGCATTGCCGTGTCTAGTGCCTTGAACGCGCCCGACGGCGCTACTCCTAACGAGAACTCAGTGATGATGGCCCTGCGCACGTTTGCCAACATCTTCACCTCACCAAAGGGCGAAGCGCTCGCAGCAAGGGAGGCAGACACTGCAGCGACTCTGCTCGAGAAGGTACTTGGTCTCTCCGGTGGTGCAGCCATCGGCCAGTTCAACCGAAACATCCTGATTGCAGCGACTACCACTTTGATCAACTACGCTGTCTATGCCCACAAGGAGAGGACTTCATTCCAATCCAAGCGTTTCATTACGGCCGTGGGCAAAATTCTGTCCGAGCAGAGCGACTCGGAGGTCGTCTACCGCGCTCTGGTCGCACTGGGAACATTCGCTTCGACCAGTAAGGCAGAGATCAAGTCTCTCGGGGGCGAAGGCTGGATCAAGTCTGCCGTCGATAAGGTGTCGGAAGTCCGGGTGAAGGAGCTGGGCAGGGAGGCTTTGCAACAGTTGTGAAGAGCTAAGGGGTGATGGAGTTGTAGTAATAAGCATGAGCACGGGGGGTCGGAGAGTGACGGCCGCGTGATATCAGGGTGCCGCGCTTGCTGAGGCCACGGCAAAACACTGGCGGGGATGCAATAGGGATGCGATGAACTGCAGCATGAGCAATTGAGAGACAGCTAGCTTAGAACGCGATTTGGAGCGTAATGAAACCGCTCCCATGATTCATGTTTACAATACTTGGAAAATTCATTTCCACTGCCAGAGTCGTGGGTGTTGGTCCCGTCCGAGTACGCGGCCGGGTCAAGTGCCGGAAGCGTCGTCGCTTTCCACCATCACACGCCGTCCCTTCCGGGCACAAATCGTAGACCACGGGCGATGATTCTAGAACCAGCGCGTTCACTGCCAATTCTTGCCGAGAAACGTATTGACGAGATGTGAATCTCGAGCACCCACAGTTCACCGCGCTCAATCTTCAACGGAGGAATTTCATTCATTGAAAAAAATAAGAAACAGTTAGATAATAAGACGAGTGTAGTAGTAAGGCTTTTCTCGCCCAGACTTGATCCCTCCCAACGCCATCTTTGATGCCAATATACAATAAATATCCCGAGGTATAATCCCATTCCACCCAAAGTTTCATCATCATCTCACTCCAGCCGCGATCACGTCACGCACGCACGCACTTCCTCACAACAACACCCACAGCCCGCCGACGACGATCGGCACCCAGCTGAAGACGGCCCAGGCACTCTGCGGCCGCTTGCCCATGTACCAGAATGTGACGGAGCTGCCGGACTCTGCGCCGGAGGTGGCGGCCTCGGCGGCGGCCTGGCCGGATTCCTTGGTGGTGATGGTGTAGACGTCCGCGAAGCCGATGTCCTGCGAGTTGAAGCAGTTTGAGTCGTTGACCTTGCCGATTTTCGGGTCGCCTGGCTCGGCGAATTCGATGTCGACGCACTTTTTGGGCATGGTCAGCAAACGCAATTTGCTGTAAGATGGGGAGGGGGCGGGACTTACGGAGAAGAGCGAGGCGCCGTGCACGGCGAGCTCGACGATTTGGATGGTGGCGTGGTCGCCGGCCTTGACGGTCGTGTTGGCGGGCAGAGGCACCTGCGGGAGGCAGACGGTGCCCGGGTAGGGGTTCTTGCTGGGGCCGAGGATCTGGAAGACGGGGATCATGGGGAAGGACATGTTGATGGGACCGCCGTCGGGGCCGTCGGTGCCGAAGCCCATGTTGACGTACATGAAGGCTGTCGCGTGGCCCTGGAACCAGCCCGGTTGCCAGGAGAGGGCGCCGCCTGTTGTCGGCCAGTAGGTTCTGTTCTTGGTCACGCCCATGCCGCCGCCTGTGAGAGTTTGTGTTAGTTGTGATCAGAGAGTTGGGAGAGGAATGGGTGAGAGACGTACATGGATAGTTCCATTGCATGCCGTAGGGCCATGTCTCGTTGGTGATGAGATTGTTGCCGCGCCAGCCCGGGTATGAGATGACGATGTGGGCGGAGGCCGTCGCGGCGAGGAGGAGTGCTGAGATTGTTGAGGCGAGCATGTTGGCGGTGGTTTTTGTGTGAGATGCAGGTGTGTTTCGTAGAACAGTCAACAACGAAGCCTCTTCTTCAACGAGAATCTCAACCGTCGGGAGCTGTGTCTTTGTCGCACAGCCGTTCGCTTCGATTCAACCCCGCCTTGGGGTTGGTTCGCCGGAGTGGTTGGTCCGTATGATGTTTGCTTTTGCCCACGCAGGATGTCAGGAGAAAGAACGCCGTCTCTTCCCAGTCGCAAATGGTCCTGATCACAGCTTTCGTAGCTTTTTGAAGACTTTGGAGATTTCAACGTCGCACTAGCAGAGGAGGAGAGAAGGAAGGACGCTGCGCACACCGAGGGCGGCCCCTCAGGCTATTATCTGGCCCGCAGGCTGCGAGCCGCCGCCGTCGCTGCAGGCCCCATTATCCCATCCCATTTCCCGCAGCGCACCATGCAGTTTGCACATTGCAGGTCCGTCCAATCGAGAAGGCGAGCCTCCTCTCGGGCTCGACGGTCTGGACGGGGGTTTGGTGGCACGCTGGAGTGCACCGGTAAAGATTGGGGCCCGGCAGGAGCCAGTAACGATGTGCGCTGGGCCTGCAGGACGGCCATCCGCCCCCTCCCCTGCTGGCTCGCTCACAGCACCGGATGGAGGTGGACGGGGGACCAATGGGCGGCTGGGGACGGGGGAGAGAGGCCGCGGGCGAGGCGCTGGGCATTTGGGACCACGGAGCGAATGGGAGGGCGTATCACATCTCTCGAGGTTGTCGGGGGTCGTGAGTGGTTGGGGGCGACAGGGGTCGAGGGGCGTGTAAGCGCCCGAGGTGCGGGCTGCAGGCGGCGATGTCACCACACTCTTTTCTCTTTGGCTTGTCATTTGGCTATTGTGCTTGATCTGACTGCTGACTGCGGGAACTGTGCTGCAGGTGAAAGCTGCGAGCTGTTGGCTGGAAGAATATTGCAACGCATGGTGGAGGGTGAGAGTTGGGAAAATCCAAGGCGATGGGGGCCGCTATTTTTGGGGGCCGGACAGGCAGGATTTTTGGGGTGGGAGAGCGTTCGATCTCGGGGAGATGCAAGACTAATTTGTGTCCTGGGTCGTGCGATTTGCAAAGGTGATGAGTTGATTGTGTTGGTGACGGGTTTGTCCAACGGCGCTTGGAGATGTCGTTGGGTAGAGTGCCGAATGGTGGTAAGCTGACGGCGCAGAGCTCCGGACCTGCGAGTTCCAGCCTGCCGATCGAGGCCCGCCGCGTGGACGTTCGGGGTCTTTCGTTGCCACTTGAGAGAACACCGAAAACGAGTCCCAATTGGATGGTTTTCTTTGTCTTGTGGAATTGGCCTGGCGGTCGAGGTGACGGCCGGATGTTGTGCCACGTTTTGTCTCAGTTGTGCTGGACGTCGATTGTCAAATGTCCGGAGGAAGGCGGAAAGACGGCATGCAATTGTGAAAAATCAAGAAGGATTTGGTATTTCTAGGAAAGGACGGTGAGGAGGATCGTCGCCTGCACTCGATGCTTCTATTCCGGGCTCTCGACCGCGTTGGTGGGAGCCGTGAGATTTTAGGCGTGCGACCTTCTGGAGTGACAGCGACGGTGGCAGGAGCAGCTGCAGCTGGAGCGGGAGCTTGGGTCATCGGCGATAAGCAACCAAGCCATTACCATCTTCACCGCCTGCCGATTGAAATATTCTGGCGAGGAAAGCGGTAACTATTCTGCCGGTCAAAAAGTTCATCCCACCAAAGCGTCTTCCCCCGCCAAACCCCGACAATCCCCAGCATGCACAAAATGACATCAGCAGCAACGACAGAAAACGAGAGCGAGCCAGCGCAGGAGGAATGGACCTTTGTCAAGTCCAACTCGAGATTCCGGAGGAAACCGCCCAAGGTCCCCGCGAAAGCCCTGGAGGCGGCTAGGAGCAGTGAACCCCGCATATTCAAGTCTGTCAAGGAGATTACGACCGAATACGAGGGGTTCAAGGCCCGCTGGCGAGACACGACATGCCATGAGCGAATCAAGGAGCTTGTGCAAAAGAACGTAGGCGACGGTAGGAGGGTAAAGAAGGCAGTCTGTCTTGGGGTCGGCACTTTTGACCCCGAGGACGGCGGATGGGATGCCAAGAGGAGGAGTTACATACAGCTGGATGGGTTTCTGACTGTCGTGGAAGCTCTGTGTATGTATAGTTGCCGTTTCTCAAACGCCAATCAAAACTTACCAAGTAACAGCTGCCATCTACAACGAGACAATTCCATGCTCTTTCCAAGAACCGCGATTCACACCCAATGATACCAAGTTCCTGGAGAAGCTCGGCCACGAAGTAGTTGAGTCCCCCGCTGCCTTCGAGGCTGTCGACGAGGACACCCTCGTGTTTGCCATTCACATGTACCGACCGATATACGAGGCTACGCTGGAAAAGGCGTTGCCAGCCATGTTCGTCGGCACCGGATGGGATGTTTGGGATGGGTACGTTGTTCCACTGGATGAAAGTGATCTACACTGACACGCACAGAGCTGGAACGTTGAAGGACGGCGAGTTCAAGTGCATGAGCGATATGCACAATTCCCACAAGCAATTCGCGTTTCCTCAGGACGGAACATACACCTCCTTCTCAAGTACCTGTCTGTACTGGCGGCCGAAGCCGGAGTCATCAGTGGAAGAAGATGGGGCTTCAGAGGCGCCCGAGAAACCCGAGAGAAGGGTGGGAATAAGAAAGAGACAACTGTTGACGGCGAGGAGACGGAGCCATCGAGCTGAGGCTTGGGCTGATGTCGAGTTGACGGAGCGAAATGATACCCGGATGACGGCGGTCTAGGTTCAGGGTGCCGGACAGGCATGTGCGTCAGACAGCAAGGTATGCAAAGCACAGCATCAAGGAGAACGTAAAGCCGTGCTTCTCGAGACCGTATGTGGAGCACACGACTCTTTCTCCGGTTGCTTGCGGCCAGCTTATAATATTCATTGCTACCGCAAGTGTCCTCTGCCATTCCCCCAATCTGACATACGTCCGTCCCTACTCACCTATCAAAAGCTTCAAACATCCTTTGCAGGAAGTATAAGTTCGTGCTTAATTTTACACGAAGCATCTTGGAAACAAACCTTGCCTCAAACTCTGTTTATCAGTATCAATACCGTTGACCGGCACAACGAGAGAGCATGTAGGGTCAGTCGTCCCGCACTTGGCAACCGGCGTCACCTCTTACCAAGATATGCCTCCCCCGAATCGCAACTCATTATCCCACCCGCATCGCGTGCAACACTACGACTCGCAGCCCTGGAAGAACATCGAACCACAGGCTATCTTCGCGTGGAACTCACCGCACCCCTTAGCGCCCCAAACAGGTACCGAGCCGAGAATGCAAGTCAGGCTCTGCGTCAAAACAACAGACCTCAAAAGACTCATGCGCGAAGGGTTCTTCTGGGCCACTGAGAACTTCAACTTCAAAGCCACTTACACCCACACCTTCGATCCCCGCAAGGAGCCCAAACAGTTGGCGCAGATGGGATGGACGTGCGCTCGCAACTTCTTCTTGTCGGACCTGGAAGACGACCCTTTTTGGACGGCAAAAATGTCTGTCTATGCTCGCGACCGTGTTACTTTGGACAGCTTTGCCGTCACTGGCCTTAGCAGGAAGAACATGAGTTGGGCTCGCGCATGGGCAAAGGATGGGACGAGCGGCTACGTAGAGGATCTCTACAAGTGGGTATGTGGCAGTCCCGAGTCTTCCTACAACAAAATATACGGCAACTTGCCGCTGGATGGCTGGTGGCCCTGGCCAAAAGCCGACGATGATGAGATGTTGCATCTTGAAGCAATGTCATACGAGTTGGGACCATCGCCATGATTGACGTTCGGTCAATTTTCCATTGGGCACGAATTTCAAAAAAATTAACGGATAAATGAAGCCCATGACGTCAGATCAGGAATGGTTGAGGACGACGACAAGGACGACGAGCATAATGAAAACTACGATGATGGCGAGGATGGCGAGGATGGTGAGAAGGGACCGACATATGATAATTATCTAAACTAGACCACTAAGACTGTTGATTTTGAACTTCCATCGCAACATGCCAGTCCAGATGCTCGAGAACATCACTTGGCTGAACAGCCTCGCCGCAATTTGGGCACATATAGTAGTGTTCTTCTGTCACATTCTCCGTCGCATCCGGAGACTTGTATGCATCAGATGATGCAACTGTCTGCCGCTTAGCTGGACTCCCAGGAGCATCGCATACATCCTCTTCTCTTCCCCGTTTCCGAGGACTGCGAGAGTTGTCGGTGGCAAAGAAAGAGGTAATGCGCCCAGTTTGAGGCGCAGGTAATCCAGAATCTAGGTTGGACATGCTAACTGAGACGCCGAGGCACGGCCAGGACTCTCCATGCTCAGTGAGATCTCTCAAAAGGTCATGCAGCATAGTGAAAATGCTTTCCTTGTTGATCTCAATCTGAGGAGAAATGGGCGCCTGTTTTGAGCGTGTCGGTCCAAAGCGGCCATTGATATGGTGGTGCACTGCAATCGTTCGCGGACGTCGAGGGACTTCGGAGTCAAGATCGAGGTCGTGCAATCTAGATTCGAGGTCGGCGGCGAATATTCGGAGCCATTTGTCTGCTTGTTGTAGATTTTCCGCTTTTGGTATGAAAGTCTTCGCGGCTAGTAATGACTGGACTTCGCTCCGGGGCCTGACGGGGCCTTTCTCGTCGCCTCTGATTGCGTTGTACACCCACTGTCCGTCTTCGGCTCCCAGTTGCGATCTCATTTCTGTGAGTGAAACCTGGAGTAGATCCCGGATGTTGTCAGAGCCAAAAGTCTTGACAACCTTTTGCCCAAGTTGCCTTCCCAGACCCGAGAGTGAAGTGGCTTTGAGGGTTGGCATGATGATGGGAATAGACTTGCGCCTCAGTATTGTTTGGCCTGCTGGCTTGTTCATCCTAGAAGCTGCCTTGGCGAGCATTTTGTTACAGCTGATGCCAGCAGAGGTGGTGAGCTGCAGCTGCTTTTTGATCTCCTCACGTATATGTCGAACAATGCTACCCCCAATACTTAGTACTACGTCGTCCCAGTCGAGAACATCGTCAGGATCCTGTAAGTCTGCTGGCATCATGATTTCGTCTTTGCTCCATTGCAGTGCTGTGTCTGCCGCAGGCAAGGGTAGGTAATTGTCAAGACTCTTATTGGTTGGTGTCAGTGTAGGGAATCGTTCCACCAACGTTCGGTGGACTTGAGCTGATAAATCGAGGTAAAACTCATCCACGCCAGCCCTCTCAATCGTCGGAGCAGGCTTGGCTGGTAGGAGCTTCCTGACGAGATGCATGGTCTTACGCGACACACCGCGGTAGGGATCAAGGGAGGCTTTATCCGTCTTCAGATGGTCCAGCACATCATCCCTGTACCTCCAGCGATCGTCGCCCTCCCTCCAAGTAGGAACATGTTGAAGCACGATATCTGGGCAAATGCGGCGTGCCTCATCGGCAGACATGATCCTCTTGACACCCCGTTCCTTTGCCGCGTAGTTCAGCGCGATGATGGCGTTCCACTGGCGGACCGCCAGGGGTTTGGAAGGGGGCAGACCAAGCCTGAGTGTTTCATACTGGGCGTAGAAGGAGTCGTAGTCAACCAGCGCGACTACCCGTAGGGGTGATTCTGGCGAAGATTGTGACAAAAACTGCAAGTCGCGATAGGTGAACTGTGAAGACGGCGCAGTCGGATGAGCCGGGGATGCGCCGGTATCGTCGGACATGGGCGGACTCTGAAATTGAGAGAAATGTTACCGGTGCTGTCGCAGCGTCTTTCGGCGTAGAACTGGCTGCTTCAGCCGGAGACATATGCACGGTTAAGGTAATTGCAGGCAGATATCATGTTCGAGGGAAGTAGTCAAAGTAAGCTACTTTCTGCTGTGAAGCCTGTGGAGTTCCGTTTCAATAGCGTCATGGCTCGCGTGAGATCTTGTTAGGGGGCAAACTTAGATCGCACGGAGCCTCTAACAAAATCGACAATTCACTAACAATAATATCCGAAGCAACTTGTAATGCGGCTGCACTCCAGAGACTTGCTGCCTACATGTTACATATCCGGATTCCGAAAAAACCCCAATGAGAAAGGCAACGTGAGTTAATGGGTCTTTCCCCCCCATAGAAGCATTTCATTTGAAACAATCTCACATTGAATTCTTCCACAGGGGAATGCACCATACTCTGAAATATTGATATCATTTGTAACCAAAACCAGTGCGTGGAAACGTCGCGGGAAGCGTGGCCGTATTCATCGTCGCGCGTGACTTCTACCGCATCTTGCATGTCCCCACTGCTCAGCACTCTCCGGGTCTTTTGCATCTTCATCCTCTCCACTAAGAGTCATGTGCTGGCAAGTTTGTTGCTGCGCCTGATACATGCGCCTTAAGCGAGTTGGGCTTCTTTGCGTCTAACTGGGGCTTTCATCTGTTGGTGGTGGTGCTTGTCTTGGTACGGGAAACTACTGACTCCTAGGATTCTAACCAAGGTACTCAAATCTCTTTCCGCTATGAATATTTCTAGTGCCGTGCTTTTTGAGAGGTCGAGTAGAAACTATGCTATGATATCTTTCCATTATGATTGCGGTCGCTTCCTTCGTTGTTGAACTACTCTGATGTCGGGTGACACGTCGGGCTTGGTCGGCACCACGCCAAGCACCGTAAGGCGACCGCCAAGTCGGGCGGTGGCGGTGCACTCTGCATGGCAGTTTTCCATCAGGCAACCTAACACCTTCCATTCTTACACGGGTCGTCGGTTGCAGCTAAAATAATGGAAGTCAGCCTTATCAGCACTCTTTCCCCATCGTGTTTAACTGCGTCATCCCCCGTCCTGCGTCATTCTTCATTCCGCACATCATCTCACCACCAACTTCACCCGGACACGTATTACCCCTGTTTTCTATCCGAATATATCCGAAAGTCGACCACCCCAACCTCACAAACCATCAAGTATCCTACCGCAGTCAATATAAACGTCAAAAAGCATCATGGCAGAAACGAACGAATCCATGGGCATGGACCCTCCAACGTACGAGGTCGCGTCACAGCCAGGCCAAGAACTTTGTCAACCAACCACCCTGATCCTCGCCGCTCAGTCTATCCACGTAATGACACCAGACTCACCACCGCTCTACCGCCTTAGCCTTGGAATTGCAGACCTTACGGATATCACCACAGAAGTGGAATTGTCGCGGATCGAGTCCAGGAAGGACGGCACAGAACGCGAACGTCACATTTACGACCTGCTGCACATGCGCTTGGGGCCGGGTGGCTACACAAGGCTGCCGTCTGACTCCCCAAAGTACCACATCAAACGCCAAACCCGATCCATCCCTGGGCTGCAAGACCTCGGCATGAAGAAAAGCCACTCGCTCATCCCAGGAAAGAAGCGCTTCGCCGCGGTGCCAGTCGATGTCTACGGGAAGACCAGCAAAGTCGGCATCACCAATTTTGTCAAAGGCGCAGAAGCCGTCTTCACCACGGACGGGCATGAATGGGCAGACTCTCAGGGGAACTCTGTGGCAATCATGCACGACAATGAAGACAAGCAGCATAGCTTAGTCGTGACAGCAACTCTAACTCGAGCCCAATTTCACATGCTTGTGGCTTTGTGGTGCTGCCATGTCTGGGAGTATGGATTGGCTCATGCTGAGAAGGTGCATGAGGGGATTGACGGAGGTAAGTTCTGGAATTGAGTGCTCATCAATCGCAGGCAAATTGAGCCGAGATAAAGAGTGTCACTGACTTGTGGTCTGATGTCTAGTAAGACGAAAGATGGCAATGGCCAAAGACTTCGGCTTTCGCGGAGGGTCATCAAGTAAGTGGCTTTTTCTCTGCTTTACTCCCTGAAGTTTTTTCAAGGCATCTAATCTAATACTTGGAACCTCAGTATTATCGGCGGGAGCAGGGTCTGTTTGAGTTCGAGTCTCTTTGGAGACTTGATTGTTGTTCCGGATCGAAGAACGGGAATGGCATTCGACCGATAACGTGCTCAAATAGCACCACAAGTCCCTTAGCCCCAATCGCATTAATAATTAGAGAAACATCGATACCCTGTGCCTCAAGTTGTTCGATTCCAAGTTTCCCTTCGCGAAGCAAGGCTTTCTGATGTGCCCAGCCTCCCCCGGTTAAATTATTGACTCCGTAGGGGGGCTCAATCGCTGCTTCGAAAATATCATAGCTTAAGCCTCAGTCTTACATGGTGTGAAGCATTTAAACTCATGCTGGGTGGTGCAGCAACTATCTTTGTACGTCACGTTCGGAATGATTTAGTGCCAAGGAGCTTCCATACCTCAGCCTGCCTACAGCCTGCTGGCCCAGCCTGATCCTCATGATAGTCTTCAGAAGCGGTAGAGTCTTCATAAGTCCACCTTGAGCCTTGCAATTAGCGCGAGATCTTCTCAATCTTTTCCCTTGGGGTAACATGTTTCCTGGATAGATTTGAATCCCATAAAGAGAGTATACAGCGTAAGGGATTGGGCGTAGATAATGTTTCTCAAATTTCTCCAACTCATGATTGTTCTCGCCATGTCGTTATGGCGCACGGCAGCTCAGAGGGTTGTTGGCCGCTGCAAGTCCCTTGCACCAGCCGCAACGGCGGGCGACAGTATGCGTCAAGTGATACATTTGAGGTAGGACGAAAGTGAGATGGTTACTGGAAAGGGAAATAGATGCTGTGTTATCACCTGCAAGGTCATTTGCGCTGCCGATAGTAAAATACTATTGGTAGCCTGATCAGAAGCCCCCCTAACAGCAGCTATCTCTGACGATTGATGCTCGCAGCTCATATCACCATTGTGATCCCGCCTTATTTGCTCTCAGATGCTTGCCATACTCAATTTACAGCCTGAAGGTCTCTGTCCTACTTTTTGCCCTCGTTGAAACTGTTGATTCAATTGACCGATGGAAGATGTCTCCGGACAATCACTTCTCTAATGCCAATATGCCCCTTAACCCGTTGTCGCCCGATGAGGATGATGTGCGGAAGACTGAACAGCGCGTTCTCATTTCTTCGTATTCATCACTGCCCTCGACGCCAGCCGTAAATGAGTTCGCCACTGAGAAGCCCAAACCTCGAGTCCTTCTCGCTCGCGGAATTTGGGACAATTCATGGCTGATCCATTTTGTCGCGGTTGCATTTACGGTTGCCGTTGTTCAGTTCACTTTCAGGGAATGCTACTGGTTTGACGAGGACAGCTGGGATAGCGTATGGATCTCCCACGTCGCCAAGCAGGATGTTGCCACCAACTTCTTACAATTCTTCGCCAAGGTCCACGAGATCCTTATTGTCGCTTCTGTTTCTTCGATGGTCATGCATGCATGTCGTCGGATGCTGGTGGGAGATGGGATTCCCTTTGGCTTTCTCACTGGAGCCTACCAGATCAGCTCGGCTGAATGGCTGTTCTCCAAGAACTACGTATGGGCCGCGAAGAAACGGCATACAGACACCAACTCGAGGCATTACATTTCCACTCGAAAACACGTTTTCATGGGTCTTGCCGCACTTTGTTTCTGCATCTACTGCAATACAGTCGGCCCCTCCTCCGCCATTGTTATTATACCGGAGTTAAATTGGTGGGAGGTCAAGAGTTCCATCCATGACAGCGTTGGGGCTTCGTACGTTAAAGCCGGGCTCGATAGGGTCTTTCCCAGCGATCTCACAGAGGTGGACCCTCCATTTTATTGCACTTCCACGACTTCACGCGATCGAACATGGTGTCCTCAATCTGGTTACAATGAGCTGGAGATGTGGGCCGAGACATTCTTGCACGGAGGTCCATCTTCACCCATGGATATTACGCAAAGGAACAGTGGCATCCGACGTCAAGTGTCCTCTTCGACGATGGGGAGGGAAAATAAGGTCAAGACAGCGGAGGACAGCATGTCCCTTCTAGCTGTCGCCAGTACACCGCACTCTTCTTTGACAGAGCTTTCCGGAGCCTTCTGGAGCTATGTTGATGCACACAAGATTGCTGGTGTCGACAAAATCCGGCGCCCACAACTTTATCCCCAAGAAGACGTCTTTTCACCTTTGGTTCAGGTGCAATGCAACATATTCTCATACATGGAAACTCAAGACGCCTCGCGCGGAGAACACATGATCAAGCCTTATTTTGACACTAGTGAGATGCGCAACTTCACAGCCCTTGCGCTTAAGGAGCAGGACTGGTATCAAACCAGAACGTGGCCCGTACCCGAGGAGTTTTGGAAGCCCGAGATCAGGAAAGTCTGGCCAAAGCGAACTTTACGTGGGTTGATGCCGCATCTTTATTTCCCAGCGAGAGACCTTCTCTCGCTTCAATACTCGAACTGCCGATGGAGAGGGAGAGCTGCCGTGGGAGTGACTCTTGTAGTCAGGATAGTCTGGTTATCCCCTGTATGATGGATGCTCGCTGGGCTGGAGTGGACATATCCCTCGATTTCAACAAGGACCGTGTTCTCCAGCACAACATATCGGATGTCTCCAAAGCGTTCGAAGATGAATGGGACGACTCCGATATCTTCGAATGGCCGGCCATACATTCTGTCTCCGGCCGGAACATCCCAATCTCGGTCGAGTGGGCTAACCTGCTCAATAAACCCATGAACGACACTTATTCGGGCGTGAACACGACGACCATGTCGTTTCTTTTTGAAAGCTCGGTAGAGAGATCAAATTCTCGCAACATTAACTTTGAACCCCCGGTCTTCAAACAAGACATGCCATACCAAGAGATGGTCGAGTCCGTTGGACGAACGGTTGCCAGAGTTATGGCTCAGTCTCTCGTTGATGGACTGAGTCGCGTGTCATACTGGAGAGACTTTGGTTTGGTACGAGAGACCTATGAGAATGGTACTTTCTGGGCGGTTGATCTCGTCAACGTCGCAGACTCGTCGCGTACGGATCCCTATCACCAAAATATAACGTACCTCGCAGATTGGACCATGATTCATTGGAAACTAAGGAGATACGGCTATGGTTTTGGCTTCGCTAGCAAGACTATTCAATTTGGTGTGGTCGTTCTTCTGGCCCATGTTGCCATGGTTCTTGTTTACGCTCTGTACATCCTCTTTTTTCGACTATCTAAGAGGGGTTGGTCAAGCGGTGCGTGGGGCGGCTTGGACGAAATACTGTTGCTGGCGATCACGTCTCGACCGACAGATATGACACGATTCTCCAGTACCGGAATTCCAAGCAACAGGATGTTCGAAGCACGCGCAAGAGTGAGGGAGAAAGGCGACAATGGAATCGAGCTGATCGTGGGTGATGAGATAGACGACGAACGTAAACTGCTACGGGGGAAGAAGTATCTTTGAATACCGCGGTTTAAGGTTGAATTCACCTATAGCAAGTCATCAAAAGCAGACATATTTCATCAATTAGTATCTTTCTTGGACGTTTGTCCTCGTCTTTTTCTTTGTGCGTTCTACATACTTCTGAAAGGACCGACCCATGCATAGATACTTTTCAAATGTATTCCAACTGCAAGGCTCCGCAGGAGAAGCAGTTAGATTGCGGGGTGGTCAGGCAGGCGTCTTAGTGACGGCGGCTGAGCGAATTGTTTGGACACTCAGAAAATCCTGCATGCTGACTGTTTCATCACCTCGTAATAATCCAAAGTAAGTCTCCATTCTGTAGGTAGCTTGCCTTTGCGAGAAACAACTTCCGCAACCAACCGATGATTGGTACAGACTGCTCTCTGATTTCTGACATCTGCATGCCTTGGCGACGCCACAAGATAATTCAAGCTCAGCCTGCATATAGGACTTGCAACTAATAGTGTATTTTTCAGCGGATTGGTGGAAGAAAGTGCCAGCATTCCACACACCGGCGCTGCTGATTGCAACAGTCTTAGCAATACATAAGGGGCTTTCGAGCGCTCGCCCCGTCGACAATGATTGTACCGCGTGCCATGAAGTACCGTTCCCATTTACCTAAGCTTTCTGACCCCCTAATGATGTCTAGGATTCTCAAAAGATTACAAAGCAACAATAATGACGACTCGTTTGGATCAGAATCCATCCCCGTAACATCCCCAACCCGACTGGGCTCCATCACTGATACCGGCATTCCCACTAAAAATAAGGCAGTCACGACAGCAACGATAATACACTACTCTTGGGTAGGCCTGATCTTTGATCTTTTCTTGGTGGCTGCGCCTTTGGTATTCTTTGGTAAGAATTATGCTCAGGCGCTACAGTCAATGCCTTTCATGTTGACGGCAAATACGTTTCAGGTCTCTTGATTGCCGCAGCTTTACACGATAAAAAGATCGAATCTATCATCGGCGATCGCATTCAAGATGCCTTGCTGTTGTCGCCTACTATATTTCCCATCGTATTCGCCGCGATATGTGGCAAGGCCATGAAGTCCATTGCTTTATACAAGAGCCAGAGCGGGATGTCTCTGCGCGTAAGTCTTTGGGCCAGCTAACATCCACCCACTTATTAACATCGTGTGCTTGCAACAGAATCTAGAGCATCTAGCTGGTGCGAGTTCACTGTTTTCGGCGTTGGAACGTTCCCCAACGGTACGACTTCCATAGTTTTTCCTCAGCCTTATCCTTCTACCGGCCATGTGACAACATTTCTCTTCGCGGCCAATAATTCAATGAATCAGTTTTATTCCGATATCACAAAACCTCTTAAAATACTCTACGGCTCGCGTACCTGGGCCGTAAATCTCAACTCAATAGCTGAGACCGGCGGAATTCGCATCTCATTGGCCACCTGCACCATGTTACCCCGCGGCTTGGAGACAGGCCTGGCTTGTACTGGAGAGGTTTGCCACGCTGCTGCAGCTCGCAAAATTCCGGTCCCGGTGAAGATTACTTCGTCTATAACTACTATCTTCCGGCGTGGGCACTTTTGTGGGATTGGTAGCTCATATCACAACGATGAAGCAAGTCAAACTGAGCATTTTCTTGCGGATGGGTTCATTGGGGATAATTCTTACTCATTTCGCGATCTCTACCTGCTTCCCCTCGCTCAGTTTACCGAGCGATTCCAACAGGTCATCAATACCTTCTGGTACGCCTCTAGCACGCAGGCTTTCTCAACAGGCAACTTTTCGTCGTTTTCTGTACGAGATCATGTGCTTCAGATACCTGCCTTCGTAGAAGAGGATCTTGGTCTACATTATCGTTGCAATTGGATGTGGTTCTGGCTAGCGGTTGTAGTCATCGTATTGCTGGAAAGTCTAGCTATCGTGAATGCGCTTCTACGCTTTCAAACAAAAGTTCCTGATGTCTTTGGATACGTCAGCTCCTTGACCATAGATAACAGTTACTGCAAAGGGAAAGATATGGAGCAAAGCTCTGCGTTGGATGGACTTCAGAGGGCGAGAGCGCTAGGGCACGTACGGTTCCAACTGGCAGACGTTAACGGTGGGGATGTCGTTGGGAAGATTGCATTTGTGCCTCGTGGGGTTCAGGACGAGATTGGGGCAACCAGAGTAAGGTCCAATCGATTCTACGACTAGACTCATCGCTCGTCCTTGCCACTGCTGTTGGAGACCAACGATGTTCTTCGGAAGGTTTCAGGCGAGCGCAGACGGTATGTTTGGAAATACTTATGGCATGGTGTCTCCTGTTGAATACCTACCTATAAAATCAAGACTTGTTGTAATATTGTGAGTAAACATTGATAGAAATTTTCTTCTTTCTCGCCGCCATTGCTCATCCCAAGATGGACTCGCAAACAGTGACAAGCCGTTAGTTTGAAAAGAGGCATTGGTGTCGGAACACTTATATGTCATCTACGTCTAAGCTCTTCCGTATACTTGCATCACAATACTGGCAATTAAGTTAATAATTTTTGAATGTATGTTCGTACTTACGGTTCGAAGGCATCCTTAGTTGAGAGCTGATTGGGTTCTGTTTCACAGCAAGACCAGGCCTTACTACTTCAGTCTCGGCAATATTCGTCACCGCTGCTTAGCAGTAGTGCATAATTTGGGATATCTTCGTTCCCTTAAAACAGTCGAACCAACGCCGTGGAATGAGTCACTGCAGAGTTAATAAGTTGCTGCGACTCTCGCACAACGGCCATTTTAGGAAAGTGGGCTCCATCTGCAATAGCGTCAATTTGTGACGGGCTCACGAATCAGGTAGTCAACTACAACGACTTGTGAAAATCTGGCTAGACTGAACGTCTGCTCGTGCACAACCCGAACCTTAAGTCCGTACCTCAACACGGTATTAAATGTTTTCCCCCAAGGCGTGCATCCCGAAAACGCGAGTTAGTCGGAAGTCACTTACGCCCGGCCCCGACTTAAACTTTGAACCCCGGACTTTCGCCAGGGGGCCCCCTGGGCCGTCCGTTCAAAGCCCGGCTGGCCCAACTTTCAATTGAGTTGTCACCGAGATTTGCTCTTCGCAGTCGAGTATAAATATTCGGCATTCTTGCCGGCATTTGGAGAAGCCACGCAACGAACCACGTTTTGAACAACATCTCCACCTTGACTTGGCAGTCTCCAGTCACGGAGCCACAGGCTATGTCATTCACCCCACCTCAGTTCCGGAGATAAATGAGTGTCGCGGCTTCGGATGTGAACTGATTCCGCCAGTTTGAGACTGGCTTCAACTACATAAGCGCACTTGCAGTTGAACTTCAAAGTACAACTTCAACTCCAAGTTTGAGGACACAATCAACCTTTTAGCCAACAACAGTCGCCCAACATGAGCATCAAGCTGGACCCCGATGACACATCCAGGTTCGACAACCTGGAGGTCCTCACAACGACATACAAGACCGTCTCAGGCCATGAAATCACAACCAACGTCCTCATCCCCAAGCAGCTCCTCTCAAAGCCCTCTACAACTCCAGCTCCGATCATCCTCCGCTACCATGGTGGTGGCTTTATCGCCGCCTCCAGCATGTTCCCAGCCTTCTTCCAACCATGGCACTTCCAACTTGCTGAGCGCCATTCCGCGGTAATCGTCAGTCCCAACTACCGCCTCTGTCCGGAAGCCACTATGGAGGAGCTCATGTCTGATATCGAGGACCACTTCACCTGGGTACAAACCAAGCTCGCATCTTTCGTGCAAGAGAAGACCGGAGGCAAGGTGGCTGTCGACATTAGCCGTATTCTCACGGCTGGCGACAGCGCCGGCGGATACATGAGTCTGATGGCCGGCCTGCTCCACCCGGACAAGATCCGCGCCTGCACGGCCGCATACCCCGGCATTGACCTTAAGGACCCGCATTTCTTGGAGGGGTCGAAGGGACCTACCCTCGGCGTTGGGCCGTTGCCGTACAGCATTGTGGAGGATCATATGAAGAAGATTCGCGAGGGCACGATTCCCGCCATCATCTCCGATGACTCGAGATTTGAGAGGGGCGGGTTGATGTTCGGACTGACGCACCACGGTTTGACGAAGCACTTGTTGGACATCGAGAAGAGACAACTCTTTCCGTTTGACAAGATTGATGATGGAGCGAGATTTCCCCGCGGTGGAGTCTTCGTATGGCACGGTCAGGACGATACGGTCGTGCCAGCGACGGGAAGCATCAGTTTGAAAGAGAAGCTTGAGAAGTTGGACCCTGAGTTGGAGTTTCACTTGACTTTGAGGCCTGGTGAACATGGTTTCGATCACGAGTCGAAGATCGAGGAGCCGTGGATGGCGGAAGGCCTGAGCAAAGTTGTCAAGTCGTGGTTGCAGTAAGATTATCATAGCAAGGGCTTGAAAGTTCTTCCGAATACATCCTCAGTCAAAAACTGCACAGCTTCACCAACAAGATGACTGACAAATAATTACAACTCTTCAAGAGTCTATTCGAACTGTATTTTCTTTTTGATATCTTGAGCTTTGACTCCGTTGAACGCTATGAATCCACAAAAAAGCACCCAAATTAAGTATTAATCGTCTATCGGCAAGACAACACGAACGCCCTCGGCAATTTGCTCTGCAAGCCAAGTTAGCGAGTGAAATTCAAGTCTGTCTTTGAGGTGCAAACTTACTGTCGAGATACTTCATGACCTGGCTGTAGTCTTTACACACATGCTGTCCGTTCCAGCTGCCATCTTGTGGGCCGTTGTCATCCGAATCGGTGATCTCATGTGGCTCGAGCGCGACGTCTCCAGAGCACATCACCGCCTGTCTCAGATAATCGACGCAGTGGAAGTAGTGCGAGACATAATCCGTAGGAACCTTGTCCATATTGTTCGTCGTCAGGCCCGAGAAGATATTGCCCATCATGAACTACATGTTGTTAGCTGATGCGTGGGTGTAAGAATCATTGGACAAAACTCACGATGCAGTGCAGCTGATGGGTCATTGATGTGGTGAAGAATGGGTCATTGCCAACCCACTTCCATCCCGAGCCAACTATCATGAAATCAGTCTTGAACATCGATGTAAGACAGCAAACATCTTACCAGGCAATAACGACCTCCATTGGCTCAACGTAGCATCGCTCATGAATTCGGTCGCGTTAGGCGGGACGTACGCGTAGTCTGCCGCGAATGAAACAACCTTCGTGGGGACTGCCTCAAGTCAGCATTATTGTCGTTCAGATCATGCTTCTGGTGACCTACGCATCGGCCCAGCGCCAGTGTAATCTCCGCCAACCTGCCTGACAGTGACAGGGAACTTGGCATCCTCAAATTGATAGTACATCAACAAACTCAGTCCCAAACTCAAACCAATGTTTGTCAGGAGAAGCAAGGTATCGATGAGCCAGCGGTATCGCCTCAAGAGAGCCTTCGTCTGCTTCCACCATGTTTTCTTCGGTGACGGGCTGGCGTCAAGATCGATCGAGTGCCAATGCTTCTCCTCATGCATCAAACCCTCCTCGACTTCCGTGCTGGAGCGGTTGTCGTGGTCGTCAACATCGGGCAGATTCACGTAGTGCTTCGTTCTGGGAGCCATCGTGTCGCTGTGTCAAATCTCGAGGGTACGTCGAAGTTCAAAAGAAAAATAAGTTGTTGCCTATCCAATCACCAAATCCAAAAATGCAAGTCTTCACCACCACACAGGAGAGAAAGAAATCTGACAAGACAAACTAAAACGCGGGGGACAAGACCAGTTTTCTTCTCTCCTCTGAAAGCTTGCCGACCCCCTTCTGGAGTCCACCAACGGCCCCTCTCGGCTGCACCATCCGTTTGAGAAGACCTCCAACACCCCGACAATCTCGCGATGCAACGCTTGTACCTGGGCGCCTACCCGATGCGGAAGCCATACATCGGCCAATATTGCCCCCTGCCATCTCGTCAGCAGCCAAGCAGAGGTGCTGATACGTCTGTAGTTGTGTCTTGACGTGTTTCATGTTCGAACCGTTTGATCCGTGCAGGGGCAGATGTGAAACGAGGCACGGCACGCAGGGACCTGAAAGACTGAGGCTCTTTTGACTTGCGCTAATCGCTACAGCTGCTTTACTCGTGCTCTACAGCGACAAGAAAACTCAATTGTACTAGCATAAGAAAGCATGTGCATATGCAGGATCAATTGTCATCACAAGATGCTCATCTACAGATTGCTCGGTCGTCAACAAGAGTGAGGAAACACCAACCGAATGCCCAATCCCCGAGAATTCTGGCGCAAGTTGCGGAGCCGTTGCGCTCGGAGGCTGGTTTGAGCTAGGGGCCTCTGGAACGCTGGGGGGCGATGGGGGCCTGAATGCTCGCGTCTCAGGGAGCTGCCGCTCAACCGTCCGGCCCACCGTCGTGTTCATCTCCGGTCTTCTTCCGCGGAGGATCGTCCGAATGCATTTGGATCTAGGCTGGAGTTTCCTCTTGGGATGATTTTCTGCATGTGTTGCATTGCCGTTGATGACGGTACTTGGCATCGGGATTGATGTGTCGAGATCTCCAACGCCACCGGAACCCCTGTAAGCGAGTGCTGTCAGATTTAGCACCAACATTGCATCACGAAAACACACCGCAGTTTGTAGGCCGGGAAACCGACTCGCGATTATCTTGTGACTTTAAATTAGAATGGAAAGTCAATTGCATGCGCGGCCCGTCGTCGGAAGCATTACGTTCCTCCCGCCTGCACGGCCGTGCCCTTTGTAAAGTCGCAGGGCCAACCCCGCGATACAGCATAGCGTCAAGAACTCAATGGAAACACATCCGTTGCCGGCCTCTTCATTCGTGAAAGCCTACGCGACCTGCGCGAGTCAATGAGATTGAGAAGTGGTTATAACCAATAACCTCATATGATTGACGTAAGGATACATAATAAGTAAAGAATTCCGCGATCCCGTTGTCCATCTCCATTAGGCACAGCCGTCTGGTGTTCAATTTTACCCGAGGCTAAAACACTTGCACACGACCGCAGAGTTGTATCAATACGCTGCTTTTGCCTACCCTTATGCACATGCGCCAACGTGACTTAGATGTGTGGCTATTTCACTTTGACCTTCGCTTCCATGTCTAGACAAGGGATTTCGAGAGATGTGATTTGGGAGTTTCCAACGAGAAGATGTTTCTCCCATTCGAAAATAGAATTTAGAAGCATGTTGTTTCGATGTTGCAGAAATCAGGAGATCTGGAGCTTGAGTATTAGACTAGAACAATCTGCTGAAGATTATGGCGATACCGCTCCGCGATACGACTCAGCTCATTGTCCTTCCAGCCGCATACGATGCAAGCGCCGATGATCTTGTAAGCCGAGTGGCTAACATGACGGATGACGAAAGGAGAGTAACCTCCAACTAGGATCGCAACCTTGTCTCCGGGTTTGGTCACATCTGGAACCAAGCACTCGAGCCCATCGTGCGTGTGGCACATTACTCTCCTTGACCTGTATCCGAATTTTGACCAGCCGCCTTTTGGTGCAATTTTCTGTGCGGTCTCTTGTACCAGGGCGTCCGTCCATTCTCGACACTGAGTCGTCGTCGCGATAACCACACCATCAACAAGCAGCTCTCGGTGTCCCATCCTCAATTTTTCTGTGTTCTGCATACTAACACGGTCTTTCCACTGACTGACCCATGCGCCAATGGGTATGAACCATGGACTTGCGTTGTCCCAAAGAGGTACCCAGCTTGGGGTGGCAGATGCCAGCGACTCCTCAGTGTGACAGACTGCGCCAAGAGGACGTAGATCTTGATGTTGCCAGAACAATTTCCGGGCTAATTCCAAGAATACTTCTTCGGTGGTCTTTGAGTAATCTGGGATGATTATGGGGGCATGGGCCGCGTTTCCGCCGCAAGTGACCATGTAGTCTTCGCTCTCGACGTCACTGTACGCATCTGGCTTTCGTGCACTTGGGTGTCCGAGGAATGCGTAAATGCGATCTCGCGGGTCTGTTGCTTCGCAGTAGAATGTTTTTGAAAGCAGGTTGAGGAAATTGGTCGACTTGATGAACTTGTGAAATTCGTCCCCTTTCTTCCATCCTGGTTGTGTTGCCTGCCCGTACTCGAGCCAAATGTTTCGCGTGCTCTTAACAGCAGTAGCGTCTCTGATGTAGATCTGCTTGGCCTTTTTGCCGCCTTCCTGAGAGTCTGCACATATGTCAAAGCCAAACAAGTCGTGGACGCCATATGGTTCAGCTTCACCCCAGTAGAACGCGGCGCTCCGAGAAAGCCCAATCTCTTGTTGAACCCAGGCACGGCGAAACCAAGGGTTGTCGTATAATCTTCCCACGCCTGCCCAAACTACGGGGTCGAATTTGTCGACATCCTCATTCGTCAACTTGAGGGTCTTCCCCCACGTGGCTTGGGAGATTGGTTTCAGAGCCTCGAACGCCGGAGTTGCCTGTTTGTCTGGGTCAGGTCCGAGCCAGATGATCAACTTCTGCGAACTCCAGTATATGAGAGCCATGATAGACACTTGACTACTTCGTTCTTCCACATCTTGCTGGTTGATACACAAAGCATCTGCCCAGACGGTGCGTGGTTTCGTAGTACCGCGCAGTCTTGCGAGTGCTCCGTGAAGACTGTCTCGAATTTCGATAGATCCGACTTGCCCATCATTGTCGTTTTCAGAGACTATATTGACTTCATGGGTCTGAGCCATATTGCCCCAGCAATAAGACAGACATTCGTACTGCGGTCTATCTTCAAGACGCACATGCCGTAAACGAACATTGATGGGTTCATCCTTCGCGTAACATGGGAGGATGTCTAGGAGACGGAACGCGTGGTCTCTACGGGTCGGCTTGGTAAGCGGTTTATAAACGTAAGGTGCCATTATCGACGTTATGAAGTCTTGATAAAAGCCGGGCCAAGGAAGAGCTTGAAACGTTTAGTCGTGAGAGGAAGCCTTTGAAGATGGATGTGCCTCTGCGCAAGGGTGTGAAGGTGCCGAAATCAATTCAAGAGCACCTGTGGCTGCCAACGGTCAGAGGATGCACAAAAAAGGTTGAACCCTTGCAGGGAGGCAACCAGCGTTGCCGACAATGCCCTGTTCAGCGAGTGGGGGCCATGCAGCGGCTGTCAGCTGCCAAGCATGTACCGAACGATTTAGATAAATTTAGGAAATACATGTCAAGCAAAGCCACTCTAGGATGGCCTTTTGTAAAAGCCGAGAACATTGTAACTCACCAACATTGGCTGTGGAAGTTATGAAGCAAAATAATGTTGAGGAAGTTTCGAGCCCACCCAGTAGGGGTTTTCACAGTAGGGGAAAAAGCAGTAAAAGCACCTCGGTCAGTGCCCAGTCCAGTAGCTTCGCAGAATACGTACCCAAGTGTCCGGAATGAAGCAAAATAATAATAAGGTTGGGAAGCGATTGGAGCTTCTCTGATCGTATGGAGTTGTGTACGAAGAAAGAGTATTTCGTAGTTACTCACAAGGTTTTTCTGCACTTCTAAGATCATAAACAGCAGAACACCATCTCCTCCGCTAAATAAAAGTAAGTATATTCTGGCAACCTCTTACGTCGTATCAACGTCAGCTTTCGGCCACGGCCACCAGCCATCCAGTGCCAAGTCGCCATAAATATTGTTCCAAGTATTTGAAGGGCTGTCATGGATCCATGAATAGACTTGCTGAGTCTCTCCATTGGCCTTAGGTGTCCCCCAAGCGGACGTTTGCGTGGCGTCCACAAACGCACACGCCCAACTCATGTTCTCAGGCGTGATATCCGCGACTTCGAAATCTTTCAAGACGCTGATCTCCCGAGCAAAAACAGTCAACTTCGCTGTCCAGTAAGGCTTATCTCCTAGGTCTGATAAGAAAAGGTTTCGCCTGCATGTCCACCCCCTCTTGAACAGAGACGGTTTCTCACCACCAAGATGCGTCTGAGTATATGTGGCCTCGAAATCGAAGTTGCTCGTGTCCCAGTGGAGGCCTTCTCGCATGAGCCGCCGCAGATCGCGCGATTTCACGCGTAACCTGACTTCCCAGTGAGGTTTGCCGGGTATTGCATGGGCTTTGCCGAAGTACGGCGATTGCCATGCGAAAGAAGCGGTCGGCTCAAGACCCTGCCACTGTTCCGAGTCATAATGCTGCACACGGTGTGCATGGGAAATCGACTGATATGGGGGAGGCTCTGCCCGGCAATGGTTGATTGTCGGCTCTGATTGTGGAGGGGAGGTGTAGTCCATGTCGGTTATTTTCTCTCTAATTTTCAAAAAATCGAAAAAGAAAATATGAGGGATCTCTTGAATTACTCCTGCAGAATGTTCGGGGGAGTGTGGTTGAGGGCAAAGGATGCGGAATATGCCTTAAAGTGAGGATTGTCGCGTGCACTTTTATTTAAAGGTGTAGCTTATTCGTCGGAGATAGATATTAGGCAGGTAGCTTGAGGTATTGTCGTCTATGGTGCAAAAGTGTTTGAACTTTGCCGCCCCTGGGCATCGGCATGGAAAACCCAAAGAGGTTGGACTCCCATGTGGAGATTGCACGACGCATTGTGTGCGAACCTGTTTGGTAGCGCTTAGCCACGACCATGGCCAATATCACGTCGCCCATTCCATGTAGTTTGGAAAGCGCCCGACATCAGGGAGTTGGCAGGAGTCACGACATTGGAGCAAGCGGCTCCAGCGCTTGCCCGTGGCTGATGTTGGCCTGGAAAGCACACGTAGGCTCCTTGACGTGATAAAATGCAGGTTTCCCGGTCAGATATCTTGCTGGATATCGTTCAAGGCGAGGAAATCCAATCTCTAAGCTACAGTATTTCAAAAACAAGCTTACTTAGCAACTTGGGCAAGTTGCTAGTCTGGGGGTGAGAACCACACGAATCTAGGACAGCACGGAATAGTTGGCCACGGACGTATCTTGAGAATAGGGAGAAAGTGGTTGAATATGTGGTCCGACGAGCCAAATATGGCATCATTATATCTATCATCATGTCCTCTCTGCTGTGAAGGAGACTCTCTCACGCTCAATTTCCATCTCTATCCCCTTTATCGACGATTCCAAGGACACATTTGCCTGTCCATAGAAGCTCGAAGACTGTGTTTGTCTTGGAGAAGCAGGAAGAGCACTCCGTTTGCTCGACACCAAGGATGTCCTACCGAATATTACTGCTCCCCCGACCTTGAGGTTCCCAGGTGGAACTATTTTCCCCACGGCTGCACTAGCCGTTATCTCCTGGACTCTGTTACATTGACATTGAAACGTTCCAGGACTCTCACATGGCTCAAAGAGTGTGCTGGCCCCTCGATGCCATTTAAGGTGGCTTGGAGTCAGAAACTCCTGGCTCAGTCGACACCCTGCCTTCTTGTAAAGATCAAGCAAGGTTTCAACCTTTATTCCGAGGTAGTCCTTTTCTTTGGGCATGGTGCGCCATCGGTGGCACAGGCCTTCAGCTTCCGATGGCGGCTGAATCAAGTCTTCGAACCCGCTGCCGAAAAGCGTCAAGGCATCACTGTCCTGGACCAGCTGGGACCATCCCCCGCTAGTCTTAGCCAGTGCTTGTTTCTTGACATGGCTTATCGACATTCTGTCAACAAGTGCCATGTATTCATGGCCAATCAGCTGGTTCTGAAACGGAACACCAGCGGCTGTCTCTGGACGTGCCTTTCTCCCCAGGTCTAAGGCCAATAGGTCTTCAAGAACCCCAAAATACCCGATCACCAATGTCTCTAACGTCTCTGGCCTCCGTCTGTCGCTGACAAGCTCCAGATCCTTATGTTGGAGAAGTGTATCAGCGGCAGAATCCTCGCTTGGTATGTCTACTTGTCTGCCTTTGATTATGAAAGGGCGCTGCGTACTGCGTGTCCGAATCATGTGCAAAATGACTTCGGCGCCATTCGCGAACCAAGCTCGAGACTCTGCGGTATCGTAGAGTACAATTCTCATCTGATTGGCGTCAAATACTGTGTCTTCGTACGCACCACTTCCCCACTTCATCTGGTATCCAGAGTCCTTGGGCCCAAGAGTAGCCTCAAACTGGGCTGTGGCAAACTGTTGAACACCAAGAGCCAACTTGGAGAACCGCACAGTAGGCTCGTATGTCTCTGCAGTCGAATAGTCAATATTTTCATAGTTGACATCCGGGTCTCCGAGCCTCATGCGTGCTTCGGACCACCATCCCATTATCGCCCGAGTGTGTTTCAATGCTTCAAGGTCAACCTCGTCGATCAAGGCTCGGCTTGTGCATTGTCTAACGCCGTCCAGATACGAAAGTCGTCGACGACCATGTTCGGGGACCACAAGATGCCATTGAATAATATCCCCCTGCCTGCTAATGGGCAGAAGCATGGCAGTTGGGCCTTTCATAACGACCCCGCCCTCGAACACAATGGCGTGTTGAATACCACAAATCTTGGCTAGAAGGTCGATGCTCAACTCTAATTAAGAAGCTTCATCCAGCAGCTCTGTTCTTCGAGGGGAATGTCTTCGAAGTGACAACTTATTTGGAACTCTAGACCACCATCAACGTGACTTCCAGGAAGTCCCGTATTTGATATCACAATCCGGGCATCACAATACTGGTGTGGCAGTTGATCGCCTCTCTCTCTATGTTGTGGAGGCAGGCGAAGAGACGACGAAATCCATGCAATTTGTTGGGCGATCGCAACCAGCGTAGACGTATTCCCAGTAACTTTGAACATTGCTTCTCCACTCTCGGATAGGTCGGCATTGATTCTAAAGCCTTCTGATATCTCTTTTGATGGGCCATTAGCATTGAAATCATATCTACGAATCCAGTGACTTACCGTGCCTTTTCAGATCCAGTCCAGGATCAGCTTGCTCCGAGACGCTTTGAAGGAGGTCTTCAACCGCCTCCAAAAGCTCAAGACCGCTTGAAGGCCATGCAAATTTGAAATACTCTATGCACGGTGCTGCGAACGCCGTGGAGGCGAGGCCAGTATACACCAACACCTGTCGTAGTTGTGGAAAGTGTCCCAAATTGGTCCCGAAGAAACTCGAGTGGCTTCCAGTCTGTTTTCACGACAATGGAGGACAGACACCTTGGATCCCGGCAGTGGATGTTACCGGAGCAGTGTTTGAATCCAGTCGTCTTCAGAGCTTCTAGGATGACGGCCCCAATCTGGACCATTCTTGGCGACTCCAGGGGGGCCTGGATTCGATGAAGTGCAAATGATGACGGTTGTAGATCGGCGAAGACCTCTGATTGCTGTGAAGTGCCTCGTGTCCCACGTTATAGGTCTTGGTGTCCTGTTCCGAACTCTGGCTTTTTCCGGAGATCGTGGCGAACTGGTCCAACTTGAACGCGAGGAACAATATTAATGTCCAGTAAAGGGCCGCGACTACGCCTCAGCTGCTTTCGGCGTTTAAACCAAAAGAAACACAAGATAGCCACAACTGATAGTAAACCAAGTGCAATGAAACCCTTGAAGCCGTCCATTGTGCTGAGGTGGACTATGTATTTGTCACTGGAAAAGGCCGGAGTTCAGCGAATGGTGTCACAGTTCATTAGGCAGGGCTGGATGATGGGATATCTACACAATTTGAAGGCTTTGGATGAATAGATGTTGTGCAGATAGATATAGGCAGCGCTGAGGGGCGATTGAACACCTCATCAGTAAATTAATACACCGATCATCCAGCCAAGACCAACGGTGGCTTGCTGACGGCCGGCGGAGCACCGCAGTTCGAGGCATTGCTATTGGTCTGCATGATTGGATGACAAGAACTTTCTTTTTTTCTTCCTTGCTCGACCGGCCTTTGCTTGAAAGTAGAATTTAATTGGCCTTTTGCGATTACTGTGGCATTCCCCGTTGGTAAGGCGCATTTCAGGCGTTGCGCAAGGCGTAATACTGCTAGAATTCCAACCCAATACGACTACATGTCTAAGGTATATGTACGATTTAAATCACAGCCTCCTGTAGACAGTAATCGGTCTTCTGGGCGATTTACTTACTTGTAGACAAGAGTCGAGGTTTTGCAATTGATTTACTATCCGGGCAGATATCCATAATTATCTCCGTTAGGTCTGAGAGTCATTCCAACTCATTGTTCTAGGTTAACAGCCTCTTATTCTAATATATTCTTCTCTGATATCTAAGCTGGGATTCTTCATTCATTGTCCCCGTCGTCTCCATTGTTCTCGTCGTCGTTGTCGTCCCCCGTCGTCGTCTTCACTACCATGGCCTTCTCTATCTTCGGTCTCTTCCATCGTCTCCGTCGTCGTCCACGTCCACAATCCGCCCGAAGAGTAGAACCTTTGCAATTCCATCGTTCCTGGCCTGATAATTACCAGCTTTTCTTAAATATACCCCGCGTCCTCCTGTTGCGGATGAAACTTCGTGCAGAAATCAGACATTGAAGATTGCGACAGCGCCATCTTGCACCAAACTGGATTTTGATCCTACCATTCAAACGCAAAATACGTCTAAGACCCTGCACAAACCAAGATGTGAACCAATGTAGGGCACTATTTAGACACACGATTCGAGGCCGGGCCCGGATGACCTGCTTTCCTACTCCACGCCGTACTAGCCCAACCTCTTGTCATAGCCTATATAAATGACCACCTCGCTCATCTCGTGGCATGCACTTCATCATTTCTTTGTATCACGTTTAAGACGTTGGACTGTGGGTTGAACCCGTGGGCAACGTGCTTTGCACCCGTCTGATGTAGTTGTAGAGCCAAGTGACAACTTGTCTAGTTGCATGCGACGGCGCCACACAGAGCTGCTCCGACCATTTGTGCGTCAAATTTGGAAGGAACGCGTGATCTGTGACGAGAGTCTAGATGTCTACAAGTACTATAACAACACCTTAGTAGGCTTTTGAGTTCTTGCTGATCATAACGCATGAGTTTCATTCATCGTTAATGAAGCGCTCAGGATGCAGGCCTGCTGGGTCACAACGGTAATTAACTGGAGAAACATGAGGTTCACTACTTAGGTAAGATAATTGTCGAGGTTGAAAAAAAAGCCACAGAATTTTCGCATTCATGCTGAAAACAGTTACGAATCTCTTTGTTGTCACGAAACAATGTCAATGTAAGCATTTACGGTTATCTTGTGGCCGTTGAGTCCACAAAGATAGTGGCAGAGCCTCTTTTGAAGCTCGTTTGCCTCCCTTGTCTGCCGTACCTTAAAAATGGGTAGCGCATTTTCCGCTTCCGCATTCCCGTGTTGGTGGCCGTGGGGTGGTGGGTGGGCTCGGATCTATTTAGGCTCCCTGTGTTTTTTTTCCGGAGCCGGTGCCCTGGTGCGTGAGCTGTGCTGCTATTTCTGGGCGCTGAGCTGGCGTGCTCCGGCAGCCTTCACTGCGATTTTTGGGGACACCGAAGTCTGACTCGCCGATACGAGCTGTGGGAAGACGGCGGCGAATGCCACGGACATACGCGGAGAGGGGATGAGTGCATGCTTACGCTTGCTGGCAGAACGATTCTGTTGCGTGACTGTCGTGAGTGAGATCAGGCTGGGGTGCATGCGTTCTGAACTTCTGATGGCTGGGCCTGTGATGATGGCAGCAGTTGCCAGCCGGGGCCGATGTGTGGCGCCGCAGCTGAGAAATGGTGGCGCTAGATTGGGAGATGTGGCTTGTGGCTATTTGTTTTTCGCGCAGGAATTTGGGGGTGCAATTGTCCCAAAATTACTGCGTCGCATTGAAGCCACATCGTCTGAAAAAAATAAGGCCAATGATTCGTGAGGGTGGTAATCGGACCAAAAGTCGAGACCTCAAGACAGGACGGCGGCCTCGAAGGGGAAGAGGAGAGGGAATATCCTGTTTGGAGCAATTTGGTGATGTCATGCGTCGACATGGATCAGCGTCGCAACTGGCAAGGGGACGGGTTCCTAGCGGAGGAGAGGGTTGCTTCAGTGTGCTTCATGTTTGGTGGTTTTGGTAAGGGGTGTTCGCCAGACGTTGGCGGTTGCAGAGGCCCTGAGGAAGGGGAGATCCCGGGCTTCTGGTTTCTTATTCGCGGGTGTGGTTGCGGAACGGAGTTTGATGTTTATGGGAATTTGATGATGATATGGATTGAGGGATTTCCATTGTGCATGTTGGGATGGCGGTTGATCATTGACCGTTGCGGTGCGGATAGGTCGACGGGTGGAATGCCGATGGTGGTGTTTGTTTGTGACGTCCATCGCATTGTTTGGTGCTCCCGTGTTGTGTTCAGCATTCGCACGGGCAGACGTCCCAAGCCCTGCCCGGCCAACGCCAGCACCTACGAGCCGAGCAGCCGGGCCACGATTCCCGCGTCTGTTCGCCATGACTGGGCAGCGACAGCCTGACCCGACCGTGACGCTTGGAGGGGCAGATGGGCGGCGCAGAGTCGAGGTCCGCGGGGGGCGAGCGATGGGCGGCGGCGGTGGTGGGATGTGATGGCAGGCGTGGTTGGTGGTGGATTCGATGGTGTTGATCTTCAGGGGATGGGTTGAACGGACCGTTACCAGGTGCCTAGGCTGGTTCCTGGCTGGCTCAGGTAAGACAGCGGCAGCAAATAGAAAGAGGGCATCGTCGACCAGTTTCGAGAGAACTGGTGCGCAGTTACGGGTTAAGGAGCAAGGGAAGCGCCGACGGTCGCTTGGCCAACCACGGGCGCTCCAAACGATCCACATCGCCCAAGGTACAGGGCCTCAGCCCACTAAAGAAAGAATCCCGGCTCGCACTCACACTCGTCTGGCGCTCGCCTCCTCCTCAGTGCTGAGACTCGGGGGGCATATTGACCTGGGTGAGGTGCTAATAGGGGGAGGGAGCTGCGACATGGCGGCTGCTCTTCGGGGAGTCTGCTCGTGCTGCATTGTTGGAGGGAGGTGGTGGAAACTGGGAACAGGACAGTGGACAGAGAGCTGAATGTCTGCACAGCCGCTGCGCAAAAGGCACATGACGCCAATAAGCTCAGCAAGTATTCAGCTCATGGGAGCGCTGAACCTGAACTTGGCACCATCGCCTTCGTTATCGCACTTTTTGTCGCTGCTTGGGAACGGGGACCGCAGTGACGTCTTTTGCGATACGATGCCTGCCCTGGCCTGGCCTGCCCGGTCTGGTCTGTCGCTTCTGCTGTTGGTTGTCGCTGCCTTGCTTTTTCTCTCCGGTCCCTTTCTTGCTCTGTGTGTGCTCCGTGCCTCCTCAATCGGACCCATTGCTTTGCCTCTCGTCTACCGGGCGGGGCCCTGCTCTTTTTAAGGTAAGCTGCGAGTTTCCGGTCCACAGAGGCGGCGGCACTCGGCAGCCACTTGGACCATCACAGGGCAAAAAGCAGCGGCAGGGCAGGGAAGCACCAGGCAGGGCAGCCGGGGAGGGACGAGGAGACAGGGCCAGGTACCTGCTCCCCCAGATTCTGCAGTGGAGGTACCTGTCCTGGGGATCCAATGGATGTTGTCATCGTTGTCTGGTCGTCACTGCGGTATCCGTTTTGGTGCATTTTCGCAGAGGTTGGAAGGGGAAAGCGAGAAGGTTGGCGGCGTCCTGCCTTCCTACTTTTCTGTGTTTTCTGTGGAAGGAGGCACCTCAGCAACAAAACCCTCGCTCGTGATTGGCCGTGTTCCCCCAAAATCCGAATGGCAGGAGACTCTGGCGGGAGGCAGGCAGGAGGTCGAACCTAAGTAAGGTAACGTGGGTAGGTAGGTACCTACCTTCCTGGTTCCTTGGCCGTCCCTTCCTCCGTCCCTTCTCCTTGCAGAATTTATCTATGCAGCACACCGGGAAGGGATCAGAATAATCAGGAAACAACGGCCTCCCTTCCTGCTCCTGCTCCTTCAATCTGTCACCGTCTCACAGTCACACAGACACGCGGTGTGCGCATTTGGCATCTGCAATCGACAATCCCAATCTGCATCCATCCATCTTTCCCTCCTCTGCCTCTGCCTCTGCCATCTGCCATCTGCCATCTGCCATCTGCCGCCGCTCGACATCTCCAACACCCGCCTCACACTGCAGCTCCTCCTGTCTCTCTATGCCACTCTGTTAGCCTGCGACCATCCGACGCAGCACAGCAGTAGCAGATCTTTCCCCACGGCCAAGGATCCGTCTGGCAAACCAGGCCCAAGACTCCAAGACCCAAGCCACTCTCGAACGTGCATCTCGCTGCGACCAAGACCAAGGTACGTCCACCTCACCCATCCCACCACACCACACCAACACACCACCACCATACCCGATACCTCTTCCCAATTTCCCGTGCCGATTCCCTCTCGTTCTTCCACCAGAACCGTTTCTGTTTGCAATTTCCCTCTCCTCTTGTTTCCCGTTCTCCATCTGCCTGCTCCAGATCCGCCAGCAACAGGCGGACGGTCCCTCACCCGCCGCGCCCACGTTTCTCCAATCCCGCGCAGCCGAAACTGACCTCGTTGGGGTCTAGACAAGAGCAGGAACAGGAACAGCAACAACCGCAGGAATACGAGCGAGCGCAACGCCAACCAGGGAGCCGCACAGAAGACGCAAAAATACGAACTGCTGACCCGGCGCCGCCTTGGGCGAAACACCGAAATACGTAGTCCGGTCCATTAGTCTCACCCATACCGAGTACCTGCGCCTTAACTCAGTCCGTGGTTGCCACTCGTCTTCCACACCCACAGCGCAGCCCAGCAGCAGCGCAACACTGCACACAGCACTCGTTCCAACCTCGACAAGCTCCTCTCCCACCTGCGCCTCCTCGAATCGATTGCCATACGTCTGGCTCATCGCAATAGGGGCTCCAAGACAAGACATCACCGCCCCAAATTGTCTCTTCTGGTGTGGCCTGCAATCCATCTGTCGCCCTTCGTCGACCGCCCGGCTTGCTCGTCGCTTACCCTCACCTACACGACCACGCAAACAACTGCTGTCTGGTACGACCGCCCGCTGTCAAACTCCCCGAGCATTGCACTTGGCGGACGTGACTAGCTTGCCTCGTCCGCCTCCCTCTTGCCTCAAGTCACCGGGCGACCTGCGGTGCACGGAGGTTAGTGATCTTGTTTTTGCTCCTGCCGCTTCCTTTCCTCTGGCATCCCTCTCCATCTGGTCTTGTCTCGGTCGCATGCACGGCTGCGTGCACTGGAATGATCAGACGAATTGTCAACATACGCCGCCCGCAGCCAGAACCGCGCTCACAATTAAATCAGTCCTCAATCCAAGACCTCTGAGATTGCATCCGCATTCCGTCTCGTCGCACGCTGCCGTCCTCTCCCCTCCAACCCATCTTTTCAACGTCGAATCCGCTCCGCTTCCGTCCACCAACTCCATCCGGAGACGACGCTTGGCTTCCAACCCACGAGGGTTGCGGGACGTTTGCCATCTTTCCTTTACTCACTGAAACATGCCTCGATACGACTACGACGACGGCAGCGCCGAGCGCGAGCCTCTCGATAATTCCTACCGGCCTCATCCGCGCTCTCCTTACCCCCCGGAACAGTACCACGACCAGCAGCAACAGTACTATAACGGCCCACCCCCGAACTACCAGTCGCAACAGGACTTGAGGGCACAACAGTACCCAGCCGGCCACCCAGACTCCAACTTTGGTCGAATGAGAGAGGGGCGCAGAAACGATCGCCAAGGTGTCCCCCAGGCCGCCGTAGGAGCTGTAGGAGGTGCAGCTGCTGGTGCCCACATGGCTTCACCACAGGTTCCAAACCACCGCGACTGGGCACCAGCACAACAGAGTAATCTCAACCCAAATGTCACTCCTGGCGCCGACAACTTCGGCGAGAACGCGTCAGGGGGTATGTCGGGTATTGCTTACAGCGTCGCCGAGCGTAATGCGAGAGAAAGCGGCGCGGATGCTATACGAAATGTCGGGCAAGCACAGCCTCCACGAGGCCAGTACCCCAACGCTCCTCCGTCAGCTTATAACCAACCACGCGGCGACGCCTACGAAATGAGCAACGCTCCTCGCCCGTACGCCCACAGCGACCGCACATCTCACTCCAGCCTGACTGCCCTTGGCGCTTCCGCAGCATCACCCTCAAGACTATCGCCGTCATCAACACCCTACGGCTACGACTACTACAACGACCACCCTTACTATCAGAGGAACGCAGACCACCTCGGTGTTGTTGACCCCAACTCAATAGCAGACGACGGTGACGACGGCTTGGAATACGGCCGTAGTCGCAGCGGACGCAACTCAATGCTCAGCCTTTCGAACAACAGCGAACGCACAGGCAACAGCCGGGCGGGAGCGGCAGCAGCGGCAGGCGCTGGTGCAGGTGCTGCAACCGCTCTCATGGCTGGTGCCGGCAGGACAGGAAATGCCAACGGGTACTATGACCCAGTCAAGGGCTCTCCGATGGGCAGTAACAATAACCTTGGCGGCGAGAAGCCGCAATCGGAGTGGGTCAAGTCAAACAACAGTCACAGGAAGAGGTGGAAGTGGTGCATCATCATCGTGGTCATTCTTGTCATTGCTGGTGCCATCGCCGGTGGCACGGCTGGTTGGCTACTGTCCAGGAACAATCGGAACAGCGACAGCAGCAGTAACGGGCAGTCGGCATCCGACGACACCAACTCCAACGGTGACCTGAGCATCAGCAGCAAAGAGATCCAGGCTCTTATGAACAACAAGAACTTGCACAAGGTCTTCCCCGGCATGGACTACACCCCGATTAACACCCAGTACCCGGATTGCCTCCACAACCCCCCTTCGCAGAACAATGTCACACGCGACGTCGCAGTCCTCAGCCAGTTGACCAACACGATTCGCCTGTACGGAACCGATTGCAACCAGACCCAGATGCTCATCCACTCGATCAAGCAGTTGAAGATGGAGGACACGATCAAGATCTGGATGGGTGTATGGCAAGATGGAAACGACACGACCAACGCCCGCCAACTGTCGCAAATGTGGGACATTCTCGACGAGTATGGCGACAAGCATTTCGAGGGCGTCATTGTCGCCAACGAGATCCTGTTCAGAAAGGAAATGACGGAATCGGCCTTGGGAACTCTGCTTAGCGAAGTGCGGACCAACCTCACCGCCAAGAGCTTGAGCCTGCCGGTTGCCACATCTGACCTCGGCGACGATTGGACATCGTCATTGGCATCCAAGAGCGACTACATTATGGCCAACATTCATCCCTTCTTCGCCGGAGTGAATGCCAAGGACGCCGCCATGTGGACATATGCCTTCTGGGAGAACCAGGCTAGCGGATTCTTCAAGTCGGACACGAAGAAGAACGTCATCGCCGAGGTCGGCTGGCCTAGCAAGGGCGGCACGAACTGCGGCAATGGCCAAGCTACAGGCTGCCCTGACGCGTCAGTCGCCGGCGTTGATGAGATGAACGAGTTGCTTGACAAGTGGGTGTGCCCTGCTTTGACTAACGGCACCAACTACTTCTGGTTCTCCGCCTTTGACGAGCCATGGAAGATCAAGTTCAACGAGAAGAACAAGGAGTGGGAAGACCAGTGGGGTCTCATGGATGTCGACCGCAACCTCAAGCCGGGTGTCATCATCCCCGACTGCGGCGGCAAGACCGTTTAAACGAAAAGTCAGTCACGAAGTTTTGATTTATGGGTTGGACGAGACAAGCGGGCCTGCCTCTCGTTCGCTGCTTGGCAATACGCAGCGATGTACATGCCGGAGTAATCATGGAGTTAGGGTTAAAGCATGCCTGGCTTGAACGCCAGGGCAGCATGTATGATGTGTGATACCGTAAATATTCACCTTCCGGTAATGGTTCGGATGGCTTCCAGTGTGTCGGTAGTATTTGACCGACCAAATAGATTAGTTTCATCATTAAGATTTTGTCTCATGTCCATTGCACATCCCCACGTGCCATCTCACTGCAGCTCATATACGTACAACACGCTCTTCCCCTCCTCCGGCGCAAAGTACAACCTCACCCGGCCGTTGACAAGAGCTACGTCCATCGGGTTCTTCGTCATCAAAACCCCTTGCGCCTCCGTCCTCTCCATGAAGGGCACTTCCCATAGAGGCACCATGGTCTCCATGTCCACGATGGCCAGCCCGCCGACCTCGATGCCGCCCGCCAGCGTCGCGATGCCCGAGCAGAGCATCACCTCTTGTTTCCCGTGGTCGCCTAGGTACCTGCAGTCCTGGTAGTCGATCCAGTGCGAGGGGTTGATCGTTTCCGTGGCGGGGGAGACGCTCGCGCTCGGGGTGAGGGGGTGTTGTTGCTGCTGCTGCGATGGCGGGGCTGATGAGAGGGCCCAGCGTGTTGCTTTGCGCCCTCCCCAGTTTAGGGTCGTGAGGGTGCCGATGCCGTTGTGCACGATGCCGCCCTGGTGGTCGCCCACGCCGAACATCCTTTCCAGCTCCAGCTTGGCGGGGTCGATTCGGACTACGGTGCCGGTGGAGTTGGGGCGGTATTGGGAGAGGGTTGCCCAGATGTGGGTGCCGTCGTAGTCTATTCCGCCGTTGTGGTACTATACGCGTCAGTGTCCTTCAGCGTGACCTGGCGGGGGGAGTATTACCTCGATGTCGCCTTCTTTGGTGACGACCCAATCGCCCAATCTCTTCCCCCGCCCGTCGAATATGACAAAATGCGCGAAGCCCGCGCCGGAGGTGCGGTCTGTCCCGTCGCGCCACTCGCCGTTGGGGTATTTGGAGGTTGGGGCGGTGTATTCCCCCGCAGAGACCCAGAAGCGTTCCTCTGACTCGGTGGCCGTGGGGGATGCGAGGCGGACGATGCCTTCTGGTTCCCAGAGGGGGCCTTCCAAGGGTATCTTTCTGATGAGTTTGAGGCGGGATAGGTTGGAGCGCGAGAGGGTTTTGAGAGCGGCGATGATGTGGCTGTCGTCTTCGGGGTTTCGGGTGGGGAGCGG